GTTTGTACAGATGAACGTGGTACCTTCAGGCGTTTGGAAATTGCTCCCAAGGATGAACCAGACTTGTGGAGGTCTACAATTTTTTTCTGATGATATGATATGATATGATATGCCATTTAGCAGACGCTTTTATCCAAAGCGACTTACAGTCATGCGTGCATACATTTTTTTTTTTGTGTATGGGTGGTCCCGGGGATCGAACCCACTACCTTGGCGTTACAAGCGCCGTGCTCTACCAGCTGAGGTCTTGGCTGATTTATTTTCATTTTCCCATGATGTCAAGCAAAGAGGCACTGAGTTTGAAGGTAGGCCTTGAAATACACCCACAGGTACACCTCCAATTGACTCAAATTATGTCAATTAGCCTATCAGAAGCTTCTAAAGCCATGACATCATTTTCTGGAATTTTCCAAGCTATTTAAAGGCACAGTCAACGTAGTGTATGTAAACTTCTGACCCACTGGAATTGTGATACAGTGAATTATAAGTGAAATAATCTGTCTGTAAACAATTGTTGGAAAAATTACTTGTGTCATGCACAAAGTAGATGTCCTAACCGACTTGCCAAAACTATAGTTTAACAAGAAATTTGTGGAGTGGTTGAAAAACGAGTTGTATGTAAACTTCCGACTTCAACTGTACCTGGTTAGGCCGCAGAGTAGGTGAAATTGTTGTCTTCTTTCTATGTTGCGTGCTGCTCTCCTACGTGTGTAGTAACTGTATTCATGAGAGTTAACAGCTGTTTTAACCATGCTATGTCACACCCTGTGGGTGACATCCAGCTGGGTCTCTCTCTGTAGCAGTCTCTCTGTCTCTATGTAGCAGTGAGCCAGGTGTCTGTCTGTCTGTCTGTCTGTAGCAGTGGAGGCTGAGTGGGTATCTGTCTGTCTCTCTGGGTGGCTGGCTCTCTCTGTCTATAGCAGTGCAGGCTGAGTGGGTGTCTGTCTGGCCAGCTGGCTGGCTGGCTGCTGAGGGGTGATTCAGCATGGTTACTCACTCTACACTGCAGGGTTGGGACAAACAGTACACTGCTGCTCAACCCTGTCAGGCAAGGACAGAGGAAATGGGGACAACATAAACTACAGTGTAGCATTGTCTTTTGAGAGTCTGATGGACTGGCTTTGCTCACATGACAGTAGGGTCCTTTTTCATGATCAGAAACACAAGGCAGAGGGACATGCTACAGAGGAAAGGAAAATGGAAAAGAAAATGAATAACTATATGGGATGAGAGATGAGGAGGAGGTCCAGACCAATAATGAGAGGTAGCTCTGTGTCCACACAGACAGGAGGATGGGTGGGTTTATGGAGAAGCCTGAGGGAGGTTTAGGGGCCAGGCTTATGGCTCCCTAGCTCACTAGGTCATGTGTTCTATTATTAATGGGATTAATCTCCTCTTTCCCTCCATGTACTCTCTCTCGTCTCATTTACCTCTCTTATCATACCTGCTGCTGATCTCTCCCTTTCTACCTCCCCAATCAGGTCTGTCTCTCTCAATCATCACTGCTTATCTCCACTGACTGTGCATGGCCAAGAGATTATGAGGAATAGACATACTTGGCACATTGTTAACCTTGAGACCCATATCTTATTTTGCAATCGGCATTTGCGCAACATTGCAGTACATTTAAACTTGAGCTTTGATAGCATGTTTATTAGGTCATATCGAAAGACCCCAACAACTGTCACAGGGCTTGACTGACTTAGATTGATATTTATCACTGAATCAAATCCATAAACCATTTGCTGTTGAAGCACAAACACTGCTCTCTCTCGTCTCAGGCCTGTGGCCAGACTAATGAGTGGTGATTGGCTGATTCCCTGGTGCTCTGTCTGGCTGGGCTGATCCCAGATCTGTGCCATCCCATCCAGCTTGTCAGCACTCAGCACGATGCTGAAACATCAATAGTTCTCACCAAGGAAGTCAGCAGAAGTGTGTGTGTGTGTGTGTGTGTGTGTGTGTGTGTGTGTGTGATTTACTATCCACAAGGTTAGTAAAACAAGGAAAATTCTCCCTCGTGGGGACAATTCCCATGAGGACAAAGGCTATTTTAAGCTTAGGGGTTAGGGTAAGGGGTTAGTGGTTAGGGTTATGGTAAGGGTCCACACGAGGATAGAAGAACAAAACGTGTGTGTGTGTGTGTGTGTGACCTCACTGACTTATTCATACTTGAATATAATTGCTTGTTTTGTTGGTTCAAAACAGTGTGTCATGTCATGCCTGGTCCACAGTGCCACAGAGTCAGTGCCTGTTTGTGTGTTTGTTTAGAACTCACTGTGTTCATTTGTCTGTTTTCCTCTCTCATGCTGGCTGTCACTGCAGAGCTGAAGCTGCAGAGAGAGAGAGTCACGGAGAAATACGAAAAGAGAGGGCGAGAGAGGCTGTCTGGCTCCATGTCTGCCCCTGCCCCTTCCACCCGGAGGTCTGCGTCAGGCTCACGCAGGTACAACACTGCATACACACCTACCCATCTGAAACTCCTATTCTGTTCCTACTGGGCACAGACCTCAATTCAACGTCTATTCCACGTTGGTTCAACATGGGCAGCAGGTAGCCTAGCAGTTAAGAGTGTTGGGCCAATAACCGAAAGGTTGCTGGTTGGAATACCCAAACCGTCAAGGTGAAAAATCTGCCGACGTGTCCTTAAGCAAGGCACTTAACCCTCATTTGCTCCAGGGGCGCCGTACTACTATGGCTGATCCTGTAAAACAACCAATTTTACTGCACCTATGTGGTGTATATGATAGTAAAAAACATAACTGAAATGACGTGGAAACAATGTTGATTCAACCAGTGGGTCTGTCGTTCTCCTTTCACCTTTTTAGATTACCTTCACACTCTTACGTTCTCCTCTTAACCCCATCTCCTATATCAGTACTCCCTAACTTGTTTTTGACTCATCCTTTTAAAATCCCTCGTACTCCGTTTTACTAATCTCCCTCCAGGCACTTGAACAGTCCTATTTTCCTCTAAATCCTTCTCTCTTTAACTTTTTCAGTCAACATCTTAGTCAACCTCTCTCTCTCTCTCTCTCTCTCTCTCTCTCTCTCTCTCTCTCTCATCTCTATTTTGTTCAACCTACCTCATCCATTTTGTCATCTTATCATCACCCACAAGAAATGGTCAGTGGTGAAGAATGTGGGTATGTCCCTCCCAGAGACCATGTATAATGATGTGATGTCTCCTTGAGTATTGAATGTTGTGTGTGAACTTGTTTGCCTATACTGCTACAGGGGCTCATAATCTCCTGGGAGAGCTGAGGCTCAGCTTTGCTTCAGTCCCATCAGCTGCTGAGCTCCATAAGCGGTTACAGGCCAATGCGCGCTCTCTCTCTCTCTCTCTCTCTCCAGTCACAATTGCGTCAGCACTTCAGAGCTTTGCTTTTCTCTCTTTTTTTTTTTTCCAACAATCATTGATTTGACCATGTAACTGCGTTGTCAGCTAAAATGAATGCAGTGGTGTGTTGGGATTATGGTGAGAGTTGATATAAATAGAGTGAATGATGGGATCTCGTGGTCAGTTAGTTTATTTTACATACTGCAACTATATTGTGAACTTGCACTCTGTCTATTTAAAGTTATTGTCTTTACATTGATTAATTACTAATGTCCAATGTCCTAGCTACAGCGCAAGAGTAGCATGAACTCTACTGCGCTTGGAAAACTGGAGCAAAGATGGAACCCAGCTCTGGTCCTTTCTGTTGTCTCTCTCCCTAGATTCAACCCTCTGAAGGCTCTGCAGCCCAAACGGCGCTTGCAGCAAATGCTGTCGTCCTCCTCCTCGCCCGTGCCTGTGCCCGTACCCGTGCCCCCTGTGTGAGACACACTTCAGTTATACTGTCCCAGAGAGCATGCTCTGTAGCCGTAGTTGGTGCACCACTAGAATGAATAGTAGATGAAGAGGAGGAGATGCTCATGTGCCGTAGTCATAGCTGGATAGACAGGCACAGACAGAGATCCACTGATAAACCCTCAGACGATATTGACGATATTATAGCCAATAGCTTGATGAGGTGATTGACTGATTAACAGGTGATCGATTGATTGATTTACAGTACATTATAGCCGATAGCTTGATAAGGTGATTGACTGTTTAATAGGTGATTGATTGATTAACAGTACATTTACTGAAGAGTACAGCTGTTAAAGTAATAGTGTTGGCTGGTCAGTCATGCTGGACAATCTCTCAAACCATCTTCAAACAGGACCGTAGTTATTGTGTGGTAGTTATTAGAGCAATGTCTCTGTCCCACCATATTCTCATATCACTTCTTGCAACCACTCTGTATAGGAGTATTCCTCACACAGCGTCAGCACAGCCTGCATACACATCATATCCCAGCTTGCCCCACACCAGGCACTTACACACCAGGGTCCATCTCAAAGGAGAAGATATGTAATGATGGACTCAAATTGTGCCAAACCCTATTTAGCCCACATATTTTACATTTTCTAGACCTTTCTTTCCAAGCTTGCTTCCGCTGCATTTCTCAGCTTGACCCTTTTCTGTTTGTATGCTGTTGGCCTTTGTCATAACCTGACATAACCCTTCCTAAAATAAAACTGCTCCCAACAGCTGGTTCTATCTGTTTGGCACTGCTTATCTCCTTCCACCCAGTCTGGAAGCCAGTGATTGGGCAAAACTCCTGTCCAGTATTTGATTGCTTTGTTTAATTGCCTGTCATTAGTAAATTTACCAATTTGTCAACAGTAACAGACTAGTACAGGACAGGAGTTGCCCATCACAGTGCCCCTTCCCCATTCCTTCACTAATAGAATGTAGAAACTACATGAATATGATTTCAACAGAACTAACTTCATTCTACTTCCTATGTTTTGGGGAGATTTTTATTTATTTTGTTTTCTTCTCTTCCCTGTTGTTAATTCTGATGACTTTTTTGGTTTCTTGCTCTGATGTTGTTTTTGTTAAGGGTTATGTGAGGTAGGAATTTCCCCAGATATTGCAGGCTGTAATTGTGCATATTTTTGGTGTGGGCTCTGATGCCACTGCTCACCTTTCGTCCTGAGGTGGACATGTACGAACAGAGTAAGAAGGCAGAAATGTGTCTGGTACACATGTCGGCATCTTAATCATTGTTTAATCATTTCTTCGTTTAGGAGACTAATGTTTAGATGAAGTCATAACAGACCTCAATAGGGCAAGTTCATGTCTCGTTAGTAGTTGTTCTCTGCCTATGATCTCACATCAGTGTAGAGGAATCTCCCAGAGCCAATAATGAAATTATAATGAGCCAGTTTTAAAGGAGATGTAATGCTTTAATCTTTCATTCCAAAATAATTTCTCATTCATTATTAGCCAGTGTTTCTGCTCTAAACAATCCAGGCTACGGTCTTTATTTTACTTTAAAGGTTCTCACTATCAAACTAGATAGGTACTCACTTTACTTATCCCATGATGACCATGGTCGATGTATTTGGCCAACACAGGGTATAAGCCCTAAGTACTATTGATGTTTGTCACTTGGTTTTAGCCTGCATCTCCGTCTCACAGACACCACTATCACTATCTCCTCACTGTAATAGCCTGTTGTCTTTGGTTAGGTTTGACTATTGCAGGTTCATAGAGCTAGACTACATTCCAATGGAGACAGGCTTTATGGTTTCAATGCGCCCAACGGATCGAGGATATCTCACTACCAAGTCTCCGGAGCGGCACTGTCGGTTAGCACAACTCTCCCTTTATCCCTCTCACTCCGTCTCTTTTTTTTGTTATCTCTCTCTGACTTCGTTCCCCAGGCATGTACAGTGCATTCGGAAAGTATTCAGACCCCTTCCCTTTTTCCACATTTTGTTAGGTTACAGCCTTATTCTAAAATGGATTAAATTGTTTTTTCCCTCATCAATCTACACACAATACCCCATAATGACAAAGCAAAAACAGGTTTTTAGAAGTTTTTGCAAATGTATTAAAAATAAAAACAGAAATACCTTATTTACATAAGTATTCAGACCCTTTGCTACGAGACTCGAAATTGAGCTCAGGTGCATCCTGTTACCATTGATCATCCTTAAGATGTTTCTACAACTTAATTGGAGTCCACCTGTGGTGAATTCAATTAATTGGACATGATTTGGAAAGGCACACACCTTTCTATATAAGGTCCCACAGTTGACAGTGCATGTCAGAGCAAAAACCAAGCCATGAGGTCGAAGGAATTGTCCGTAGAGCTCCGAGACAGTATTGTGTCGAGGCACAGATTTGGGGAAGGGTACCAAAACATTTCTGCAGCATTGAAGGTCCCTAAGAACACAGTGGCCTCCATCATTCCTAAATTGAAGAAGTTTGGAACCACCAAGACTCTTCCTAGAGCTGGCCGCCCGGCCAAACTGAGCAATCGGGGGAGGAGGGCCTTGGTTTGGGAGGTGACCAAGAATCAATGGTCACTCTGGACTGAGCTCTGTGGAGATGAGAGAACCTTCCAGAAGGACATCCATCTCTGCAGCACTCCACCAATCAGGCCTTTATGGTAGAGTGGCCAGACGGAAGCAACTCCTCAGTAAAAGGCACATGACAGCCCGCTTGACGTTTGCCAAAAGGCCACATAAAGCACCCTCAGACCATGACAAACAAGATTCTCTGGTCTGATGAAACCAAGATGTGACGCTTGGCATTCAGGCCAAAGAGTTCAATCTGGAGGAAACCTGGCACCATCCCTACGGTAAAGCATGGTAGTGGCAGCATCATGCTGTGGGGATGTTTTTCAGCAGCAGGGACTGGGAGACTAGTTAGGATCGATGGAAAGATGAACGGAGCAATGTACAAAGAGATCCTTGATGAAAAACCTGCTCCACAGCGCTCAGGACCTCAGACTGGGGCGAAGGTTCACCGTCCAACAGGACAACGACCCTAAGCACACAGACAAGACAAAGCAGGAGTGGCTTCGGGACAAGTCTCAATGTCCTTGAGTGGCCCAGCCAGAGCCTGGACTTGAACCCGATCGAACATCTCTGGGGAGACCTGAAAATAGCAGTGCAGCAACACTCCCCATCTAACCTGACAAGAGCTTGAGAGGATCTGCAGAGAAGAAGTGGAGAAACATCCCCAAATACAGGTGTGCCAAGCTTGTAGCATCATACCCAAGAAGACTCGAGGCTGTAATCGCTGCCAAAAGTGCTTCAACAAAGTACTGAGTAAAGGGTCTGAATACTTATGTAAATGTGATATTTAAAAAAAAAATGTTTGCTTTGTCATTATGGGGTATTCTGTGTAGATGGATGAGGGGGAAAAAAACAATTTAATAAATGTTAGAATAAGGCTGTAACGTAACAATGTGGAAAAATTCAAGGGGTCTGATTACTTTCCGAATGCAGTGTATTTAGTCTTAATGCCAAGATGCTTTGTCATTCAATATGCATTTTAAAGTCTTAATTGGAACTTTTGATAAATTGTTCTGTTATTGAGCATCACTAGATGTGGGGTGTTAGAGCATTAAAGTCCATGGCATGTAGATTGAATCCAGGTACTTTCTAAACCATCACATGCAAGCTGATCTGTTGTTAGCTGGTAGTAACCTTTCACTTTTGCTTTTGCCGTTCTCATTTATTGATAGGCGTTGCTGACATTATTGAAGTTCTACTTTGTTTTGGCTTTTGGTTTTCTTGGCAGCTTTCATCTACTCAAACGCATGACATCTTTGAGCCATCGTGTAATATCATCTGTGTTACAGAGCATACTGTATGTCCGCCTTCATGATAGCCTTTTAATGTATGTGTATGTCTTGGCAAGTTTTGAGTCTGTGTTTTTTTTGTGGGCATGTTGTGGGTGAGTTTTGGGCATGATTAATGTTGGTTAAGAGTTTTATTGAGGCAGGATTTGTCCTGGTGTTTGATAATGTCAGTTAATATTACTCTGTCTGCCTATATTGCATGATGTAGTAACTATGTCCCTCTCACACTGGTGCAGACGGACAGCTGCCCCAGTCAGCAACAGAGATCCCTATGGCAATGCCTCTCTCAGCAGCAGCAGCACTAACTCTGGCTCCTGCAAGGGCAGTGATTGCAGCCCCACCAAGGGGTAAGACAAAAATTGGCTACCCCATCAATCTATAAGACTAAGGGCTCTATTCAATCTGTATTGAGGAAATTCAGCGTTCCAGCGTGATTTAAATTTAAAGGCAATTTTCCCGCATTAGCGGAGACTGCATTCAAGGTAAACGCTGCAGATTTCCGCTTAATAGGAACTTACCTTTACATTTCTTCAGCGATACAGCTTGAATAGAACCCTATGCCAAGCCAGCTATGCCCCATGTCAGTATCATTCTCCTACATGGGAGAATGAGTGCCTACTGCAAAGTAGCCTACAAAGTGTTAAATTTTGTATTATAAGGACATGTTATTAAAAGGCCTTATAATTTGTTATAAGAATGTATGAGCCGTAGCCCTTTTCACTTTTACCCATTTATGGGTTAAAAATGGCAGATTTGGACACTGATCAGCACCTAAATTGGAGCGCAGTGGCTGTACAGTAACACGCTATACATGACATCAGAGCTCAGGCTCACAGTTCTGTATGGGTTTTGACTGACAGTTATTCTGAACTTGAGGACCGTGCGTGACAAGATGTTGCCCCATCCCTCCCGCTAATTGGGCATCTTTAGCACATTTTTTGTCTGAGTGAGAGAAAAGGTGTACATTATGAGGACTCTCTGTATTTTGAAAGATGAGATGTTGAAGATTATAATAAATAACGCTTGATGTCATACAAGCAAGCCAAACACCCGTGAGTCCAAATGTGCACTTCACATTTACATATCATAAAACTCATGTCATATACAGTGTCAACTTTTATGATAACTATGTTTGATGTACAGTTACAAGATGACATGGCGTTATACCCTGGGTTGTCCTGAACAGAATGAGCCTATGTTTGTTGTATTGTGAAGAAAATCTGCCGTGGACCAAGCATCTGAATACACTCATGACTCCTTTCTATGCACACCAAAATTACGATCTGCTTCTCTGAATTGCCTTGTGAAAACCTAACACTGTAAGATTGTATTTTATAATTGAGAAAATCATGTTGGCAATAGAATAAGATTTCAAATTATGCCCACCTGACCCAGATTGTGATTTATAATGGAAAAATGTTGGATTGTGTAAACAACAACAGTAATTGTGTAAAGTCTGGGACGCAGGGCTGTGTTCCAAACAAAACTAATACAAGTCTGCTTGCTCTAGTTCCTCAATAGCACAGCTAGGAGAGTAAAAAAATAACACCTTTTAGTTGAAGACTCTTCTTTGAGTCATAAAAGTGCATTGAAAATTACTTAAGAACTGTGCACACTTTGGAGAGGTGTGTGGCCACTTGGAAACACCAGTTAGTCATCTCACTCAAACCCTTGTCATTTTTTTGTCTGATGTTGCACCTATCCCAAATTTTCACAAAAATATTCTTATCATGTTATTGAATGTATCCAAAGTATTTTCAGATTTCATTATCAACAAATGTGGTGAAAAGTACAGTAAATGTAAAATGCACATAAAATCAACAGTGTAATGTTTGGATTCAGTCGTGTCAGGTGAACTGTTGTGTCCTCACATTGAGTCTAATAATTTTCCCATGATCTCTAAACTGTTCCCTTTTAATTGCTACCATGGGTATGCATATGCTTTCCACATTTCTTCTGTAAGAAACATTTCAATTTAGCCCTATTCATATAGGCCAGCAGCGTGTAAGGGGTTTTAATAATCTTATAATAAAGTTTATAGAAGATAATGGATTCTAATAGATCTCTCTCCTGTTTCCTCTCTCTCTCCAAGGCGTCACATGAAGGCATACACCTCATGTACAGATAACCATGGCATCCGCCCCCCTCCCCCCGAGCAGTACCTCACACCCCTGCAGCAAAAGGAGGTGTGTATCAGACACCTGCGAGGCCGCCTTAAGGAGACGGTCGACAGGCTGCAGGACAGGTGAGACACACAAAAGGACACACACTGGAATTATTCTCTAGCCAAAGGGAAGATGTCGACTCAATTACATTTTCCCATTTACTCTGGTCTCATTCAAACAAGTACATTTTTCATTTGAGCATTTTTTTGTTTTGGAAATATTATGCTCTTTGAAATATAGATTTGAATGTCAACTGTTACCCCATTTCCATTAAATGACCCTCATAACTCTTTCAATTTGTAATTATGTTGATATATAAACATAATTGTTTGGAGGCAAATTACTAAATCGCCAAACATTATTACTAAATCTCTCTTAAAACCTCCCTTGTTCACTCCCTCCTCTTCCTCTCTGTCTGTCTCAGGGACTCTGAGATCGATGCGTTGAAGACCCAGCTGTGTCGGATGCAGGAGGACTGGGTTGAGGAGGAGTGTCACCGCGTGGAGGCCCAGCTGGCTCTGAAGGAGGCGCGCAGGGAGATCCAGCAGCTCAAGGAGGTGGTGGACGTGGTGCGCACCAACCTCAGCTCCAGCGACTCCACCGACACCGGTGTCCAGAAATACTTCCAGGACATCAACGTCCAGAACCACAAGCTGGAGACCCTGCTGCTCAGCATGGAGCAGGCTCAGAACGGGGTGGCCAAGGAGCAGGAGGCTGCTGCTGCAGCAAGAGGAGTGGCAGGGGGGTCTCGGGCTGGGAGGCCTGGGACTGCGGGGTCATGGCCCGGGAGTAGTCCCGCTGCATCAGGGACTGGAGGGGGTGGCTCCAAGAGTCTGTGTGGGTCCTGTGACGGCTCCCCCTCCCGTTCTCTGACCCATAGCTCCACCTACACCAAGCTGAGCGACCATGCACTGGCGGATAAGAACGGGAATGGCCTGTCAGGGGAGGAGAACCATGACAGCGGCTTTGTGTGTTGTGGGGAGAATCACAGTCACAGTGCAGCCAGCAGTCACAGGGCAGACTTGCTCCTGGAGGCAGCCTTCCTATCTGAGGAGACAGCCTCACTGCTCAGCACCTACTCCCACCTGCCGCACTCCTCCACCTACGAGAAGCTGTGCACCGGGCAGGACAGGGTGGTGCCCCTGCGCTGTGCCATGGGTGGGGCGGGCAGCACCAGCCACTCCTGTCTGTCCCACCACCACCTGTACCTGCACCACCTCAGGGAGCAGGCCGTCCAGACAGAGAGCTGCCCCATCCCTGTGGGATTGGGCTACGCATCTGACCTGGACACCATCGCTGAGCGCACCTTCCGCTCTCAGGCCTGCAGCCCCACCTCCACCTGGGTCTCAGACGAGGGCGACGACCTGGACTCGGTTACCATGACGTCAGTCACCATGACAACCCTCACAGCTACAACAGCTGAGCCCGCTCCTGGCACTCCTTTACCCAGCTCTGCCTCTGTCTCCTGTGCAGTGGATATGCCCTCCCTCTCAGTGAAGGAGAATGGGGAGATGGTGGGAGAGTTGGAGAGGCATATGGAGGTAGTGGGGGAGGGCGCGGTGGGGATGGTAGGCAAGCAGCAGGAGGAGGATGTGGGATTGGTACAGTTGTGTAAGCAGGCGGAGGTAAAGGTGCTGGGGTTGGTGGGGGAGGGGGAGGGGAAGCAGGGGGTGGTCAGGGAGTTAGATCTAGATAATCAGAGGGAGGAAGTGGAGGAGCTTTTGGAGGTGAGGAATCAGGGAGAGGTTGAGGAGGCGAGGTCATTGGAGGTGGAGGAGCGGCCCCACACCTCCCAGCCCAGGAGCAGCTCGCTACAGCAGGAGATAGCTGGGGTGACAGTGGTGGAGGGTAATGATGATGATGAAGAGGCTGAGGTTCGGGGAGCAGAGGAGTCTACCTCTTCTGGGTCTGGACCCGCAGTGAAGAGCTACTGGAGCCGCCACTTCCTTGTGGACCTGCTGGCAGTGGCAGTGCCCGTGGTGCCCACGGTGGCATGGCTGTGCCAGGGGGCACGGCGCGATGGACTGCCAATTTACCACTTCGGCTCCCTGCTGCGTGGCTGCTGCACAGTGGCCCTCTCCTCCCTGCGCAGGGGTGGGGGAGTCAGGCACTACCCCGCGGGCACGGGTGGGGGAGCCATGGGGGGCACAGAGATCTGAGACAGGCCACATGACAGCCTGGGAACTGCACACACACACAGCACTGCCCTCTCTGGTCCTGGGTTCATCCTCCACCTGAAGTACTGGGTAAAGAAAGGAGGGGAGCGATGATTTTGAATAAATGATTCTGAAGACAGGAAAGCCCCAGCAAACCGTATAACCCTCTCCCGTGGTGGCCTCTTCCACCTCTTCTGCTGGACTGAGAAGGGACGCCAGGATGTGTCGAACTGACACTGAATGGTAGAACTGAATGATTGAATGGACAATGAATGACCTGAGTGTGACTGATGGTGATTGTAACCGCTCTCTCTTGTGTGCAGGGAGACTGAAAGGTCTGTCCGTCACTGTGGCTCTCTTTATTGGTCCAGTTCCATTTTAACTTGTGTGTAAGTGTGTGTATGCTCACACGACATGCGTGCTCACACAATGTGTGTGTTGTCTGAGTGTGCAGCATGTGTGTTCTTCTCTGTGTTGTGTAGCCAAGTACGTACATTGTGTAGCCAATGCACCTAGATGTCTGGAGGCAATCACAGCCATAGCTGTTCAGTAGTTGGTATACTCATTTACGAGTGAATGACTGGAGTCTTGACACATGGCAGTTCTCCCCTAAAGGTACCAGGCAAGCTGCTGCTGTACATTTCTGCTTCCTGCCACTGGTGTCCAGATTAACAATCACTCTTGTAGCATTAAGTCCATGTCCATCGTCCAAGAGTTAGTTAGTCATTCCAGATCCATGAACCGGAAACATCTCAAGAAGGAAGCAAATAGACATATAATAATTGAAACTAGGTTTATTTTTCTTTCAAAAATAGGAAAGGGATTATGAACTTTGTGAGGATTGTCATGGTAATTTGTTGTTATTGGGGTGTTTGCAGTGTTATGACTGAGATGGAAGAATCTGAGTGTCTGATTGTTTGGGGCTGTAATGGATGGAAAGTAATTGAGGCTGAGCAAGCAGACTGTACTGTAACGTTTTAATATTAGTCTTTGTTAGGGACTTATGAGCCAAACAAGCGCTAAATGATGTCCTGGAGATTGTGATGCAACCAACAAGAACAGTCCTTTGTTGAAGTATATTGAGTTCTTTACAGAAGAAACGGGATAGATCTTATTTCTGTAGTAATTTATTAACAATGTTTTGCACTATTATTCACTTTATGAGGTTATTAAGCAATTACTTGAAGTCAAGATTGTATGTTTCCATGGTCTAATGCGGCCACAGTTTTGCTTCTGGGTTTTTTTTTGTGTTCAATATACTTTCAAACAGATGTAACTGTATTATGGAATATGTTTCAAAGCAAAGATGCCATTTTCCTTTGAACACTGAAAAACAGTTGCCTTCCGTCCATGACTTTCTTTTCCTGTACACAATAGGGAATATCCTTCTCTAAATGTTTTGCTGCTTTCTGGAAAGTGTGCTGGATGTGCGTTTGTTGTTGATGTTTCTCTATTCCTTTCCATTTCTGCTGCTTGACAATCCCTGCTGTGCATGTTTTTGCTTATTTAACCTCTTCACGATGACTTCCAGCACTTATGAGTAGTGAAACACACGAGCAGCACTGACAAAATAGATTGACTGGTGAATGAATGAAATGCTTGGAGTTCTCTTACACACCTTTCACTGTTGTCATGTACTTTAGATATTAACACTTTCCACAACCCTGTTGGAATTTGTAATGTGACTTGAAATTCTGCGTTGCTGTAATTTCTTCCCCTTCATGTTTCATCATCATGACCTGTGAATGGCCCCCCTGCCGTTTGAAAAAGCCTGCTTTGTGTAAGTAGTTCAGGAAGCCATATTCCTTCTTGTAAGGTGAATGTGTTTGAGAATGTCTCTAGCAGAAACACAATGATGAAAGTATAGTGTGATTGATAATAATCATATTGATATGCATTTATAGATGACTCATCTGAAGTCTCCTCAACAATACATGGCGTGTAGGTCCACGACCCCCCCCAGGAGTGTTTGTCGCTGTATTTACACAGGCATCCCAATTCTGATGTTTTGGCCAATAATTGAAAAAATATCTGATCTGATTGGTCAAAATACAATATAGTGGCAAAAGATCAGAATTGGCTACCTGTGTAAACACAGCTACTGTGGCTTGTTAAACCTGTACTGGACTATTTTATATTTATCAAGCAATTAATTGGTGTTTTAACAGTAAAACAATGCCCCTTCATTATGTACCTCTATGCACAACAAATCAAGCTTAACAGCAACGTTTGTGTCTGTGGTGTTAAGTGAATTACTAAAGGCTAACAGGTCATGCTCGTGTTATAGTTACCATCTGCTAATTGTTTGTTATTGCCCCACGTCTTTGTATTTTTCTGGGTTTTGAAGCATAATTACATTTCTGATGTTCTGGTCTTGCCACCATAGCACTTGAACATGCCCAGTTCTCTCCACCCGTTGCTCTGATGCTTGATTTGATCATGCACTGCTATGATGTCACATAGTGTATCTGTCCTTTGACATTTTATTTTGGGGATAATTCCCTTTCCCCACTGTGTACTGGTTTTATGTGAAAGGCTTTAAGCATCAACAAAGATGATCAGGGTGATGGGTTTATTTATAGCTCAAAATAACTACCCAAATCACATTGGGAGTCATTGGAGTTTGTATTAGGACATACCTATAGGTCATTGGAGCTTGAGTTAGGACATACCTGTAGGTCATTGGGAGTCATTGGAGCTTGCTTTAGGACATACCTGTAGGTCATTGGGAGTCATTGGAGCTTGCTTTAGGACATACCTGTAGGTCATTGGGAGTCATTGGAGCTTGCTTTAGGACATACCTGTAGGTTATTGGGAGTCATTGGAGCTTGCTTTAGGACATACCTGTAGGTCATTGGGAGTCATTGGAGCTTGAGTTAGGACATACCTGTAGGTCATTTGGAGTCATTGGAGCTTGAGTTAGGACATACCTGTAGGTCATTGGGAGTCATTGGAGCTTGCTTTAGGACATACCTGTAGGTCATTGGAGCTTGCTTTAGGACATACCTGTAGGTCATTGGAGCTTGAGTTAGGACATACCTGTAGGTCATTGGGAGTCATTGGAGCTTGCTTTAGGACATACCTGTAGGTCATTGGAGCTTGCTTTAGGACATACCTGTAGGTCATTGGGAGTCATTGGAGCTTGAGTTAGGACATACCTGTAGGTCATTGGAGCTTGCTTTAGGACATACCTGTAGGTCATTGGGAGTCATTGGAGCTTGAGTTAGGACATACCTGTAGGTCATTGGGAGTCATTGGAGCTTGCTTTAGGACATACCTGTAGGTCATTGGAGCTTGCTTTAGGACATACCTGTAGGTCATTGGGAGTCATTGGAGCTTGAGTTAGGACATACCTGTAGGTCATTGGGAGTCATTGGAGCTTGCTTTAGGACATACCTGTAGGTCATTGGGAGTCATTGGAGCTTGAGTTAGGACATACCTGTAGGTCATTGGGAGTCATTGGAGCTTGCTTTAGGACATACCTGTAGGTCATTGCTAATGTTTTAGGAAATTATTTTTTAAATGTTGTGACATTGATAAAGAGGGAGTCTAGAGTGTGTTGTGTGGAAAGCATAGTCTTTAAACAGGGTCGTTACTGTATCCTACATCCATGTCACTCTTGATCTTTATTTTACAATATGATTGGAAGATATCTTAGCACCTCAGAAATATTCTGTTTTATACATTCAGTCCAAGGAGACCAGGTGCACTGTAGTGTTGGTCTGAGACAGGTTGTGTCAGTGTACATGTGCATTAACGTGGGATGTGTGAGCATATAATCATATTTGAGATTGTGTGGGTTTCTCTGGGATATACAGTACAATCTTGGGGGAAATCATTTGAAATTTTCTCTTTGAGGTATTGTATTGAATGTGCAGTATCTTATTTTTAGTTTTTATTTGTCTAATTGTCTGATGTAATGGGATCTATATCAAAGATGGTTATGAGACCTATATTTTACCTGAAGGACATTTCCCCTCTTAAATGCCTTGTATGGGTATCAAGTAGCCATCATTATTAATAGCTATAGATCAATTGTTAATGTAAATTACATTTTAATGGCAATAGTGTGTGTATAGTAGACATCACTGTTCATGAGTACAGATGCATTTTCACTCCCACCATACTGTATAAAGCAAAACCAAAAGACCCCATATTAAATCGCATGGAGTAAAACTGACCGTCGTCTCCTTTTTGTCTCTGTTCAGTTATCCACCAAGTTCTTTTAAATGTTTTCACTAAATGGAGGTAATTTAAAATAGCTGTGGAAAAGGAATTTAATCTAGTTGTTGTGGAATGAGTTTTAGGTTTTTGTTGGGCCTCATTGGCATTCCACTATTGTGTTCTGGCAGCCTTCTAAAAGATAACGTCGCCTGTTGAGAAAGTATGAAACTGTATATGCAGGAATGTGGCCCCTGAGTCCACCCATGCTTTACAGCAATACTGTCAAGATAATCAGCCATATAGTGCTTAGGTAATTAAGTTGGCCTTTGTACATTTAATTGAATAATTTTAGGTGAATCAATCCCTCCAGTAGTCCAAGGTAGAATATGGGTGTTCTAGAGTAGACATTTCGTTGATATGGTGAAGGACATATCCTCTGAGTAAAGGGAGGGGACACACACACACACACTGATATAGCTGAATGAATGTGAACAGAAGGATTATTTATTTGTTTTACAATTATCTTGGTTACATTTTGTATATAAACTTTTAGATTCTAGCATTTTCAGAATGATGGCTGTGTGAATATCAAATGTTACAAACAAAAATTAATCCAAACAAGAACAGCAATAAAGGAACATTCAGAGAAACGCTTTCAGTCTCGCTGTGCACATCACAGAATATCTTCTAAACATAATAGAACCCACACAGGAAATGATTGATTGAACCCTAGATGTGTATATTATTTGTTGATTACTTTGTGCATCAAACAAATCAATTCCCAGAGTTAACTTCTACATACTTGACATATTTCCTAGTTAATTTTGACTCCACTTGAACAATAACAAAAACACAAATGGTTAGAGGAAAGACTACCTCTAACAGGAAGTGAAAAGTGCACTTAGTGGGTCCGCCCAGCGTAATACCCCAGCTGCATAGGGGAACAGGGTTATGATCAACAACCATGGAAGTCATTGGCTTTTACAGCATTTTGACACAAAAGGTGAAAGGTCACGAGCCAATGAACCATACTCTTTATGAGGAAGCTCTGGACTCATGGTAGCATTCATGTCTTTAAAATAAAGGTGTACTCAATGCAATGCCACATACATAAATGTAATACTTGACTACAAGAATTATCATATAAAAATACTAAATGTAAATATAGACAAAGGGATGGAAGTAGAAAAGGAACTACATGGAATAACAATATTTGAAACATAGAAAGAAAGGCATCTTTTATGTTACGATGAAGGTGATTGTGATACAAGAGGTTTTTCAAAAGCGAGAAAGAACCCCATTGGACATTTAGGGGCCAATGGGAACTCTGGAGATTGTAGGCATCCTGCAGGAGAACGTAGTCACGTTCTGGTCCTCACACCTCTGGCACAGAGTGGTCCATGGCTGATCGCAGGAGACCGCTGGACATTCTAAAAACATTAAACACATTCTATGAATCTAAATGACTAAGTATTTTACCAGCATTGCTGACCTGATGAAACAGTGTAATGCTATTCCTTAGACACTCCGCTCCTGACTGGTTACCTCTTGATCATGTGTTCGTAGATGAACTTGGGCATGATGGTGATGGTCATGGCTGTAGGGGAGGTGGTCAGGATGTCCTTGATCTGAGCGTCCTGCACATAAACAGTATTAGCATACATTAGACACATTCATCGTTAGGGAGAAGTCTCCGTCAACAGTAATAAGTCAAAGCTCACCTTGAGGCCGATAACATTCTGGCCGTTGATCTCACAGATGTAGTGGTCGGTCAGAAGGCCGTTGCGAGCGGCCGAACCATCCTTGACCAGTGAAGTGATGTTGCCCGACTTGAAGATAAACCCAACGTGGCCTGAGCTATCTTTGTGCATGGTGACAGTACGCTGGAACGGCCTGAAGTCAGACCACAAACAAAGACAAATGAGGTACTCAATACTCAAGAAGGGCACTTAGTAGTAGTGCAGTCCACTTCCCCTAAAATGGGTTAGGGTTGGTAGTGGCCTAAAGCTGTTTTTCTATTAAGGCCCATTCTTTTATTTTCCTGCTTTAGACTTTTTTTGACCATGTCCTTTGATCAGAATGATATTTTGAGAAACTGCATACAAATTAGCCTCTGATCTAACAGCAAAAAAAGTACATCGAGTGTTGTGATATGACCAGCAGGAGGAGCCAGAGCTACAGTGTGTCAGATTTTCAAAGTACAGAGCAACTAAGGACATTTTACACTCCATCTACTCATCTTTTAGCATTCCCTCTAATGGCCAGACATACTGATAAACATAAAAACCTCATGACATAATCCAGGAAACTACACAAAGCTGATCAAACTGGACTACACTGGTTCCTCTCTAGATGTATTCCTAGATTCCTGCTTTCTAGAGAGTTTTTCCTAGCCATTGTGCCTCTGTCTCTGCATTGTTTTAGGCTGGGTATCTGTAAAGCAATTTGTGACAACTCCTGATGTAAATACAGCTTAAAAAAATGAATGTGATCGATTGATTAAATAATGTTGACTAAAACATTAATTTGGTATTTATTAGGATCCCCATTAGCCGCTGCAAAAGCGTCAGCTACTCTTCCTGGGGTCCACATGAAACATGACATAGTACAGAACATTATTAGTCAAGGACTGAAATACATACATTTAAAAACGTCACACATAGCCTACATATCAGTACATACACACAACATCTAGGTCTAATACATACAGTACCTGTCAAAGGTTTGGACGCCTACTCATTCCAGGGTTTTAGTGAAGACATCAAAACTATGAAATAACACATATGGAATCATGTAGTAACCAAAAAAATTGTTAAACAAATCTAAATATATTTTAGATTTGAGATTCTTCAAAGTAGCCACCCTTTGCCTTGATGACAGCTTTGCACACTCTTGGCATTCTCTAAACCAGCTTCATGAGGTAGTCACCTAGAATGCATTTCAATTAACAGGTGTACCTTCTTAAAAGTTAAAGAAATTCCACACATTCCTTCTTAATGTGTTTGAGCCAATCAGTTGTTTTGTGACAAGGTAGGGGTGGTATACAGAAGACAGCCCTATTTGGTAAAAGACCAAGTCCATATTATGGCAAGAACAGCTCAAATAAGCAAAGAGAAACGACAGTCCATCATTACTTTAAGACATGAAGGTCAGTCAATCCGGAAAATGTCAAGAACTTTGACAGAAACCATCAAGCGCTATGATGAAACTGGCTCTCATGAGTACCGCCACAGGAAATGAAGACCCAGAGTTACCTCTGCTGCAGAGGATAAGTTCATTAGAGTGAACTGCACCTCAGATTGCAGCCCAAATAAATGCTTTTTAAATGCTTACAGAGTTCAAGTAACAGACATCTCAACATCAACTGTTCAGAGGAGACTGCGTGAATCAGTCCTTCATGGTCGAATTGCTGCAAAGAAACCACCACTAAAGGACACCAATAAGAAGAAGAGACTTGCTTGGGACAAGAAACACAAGCAATGGACATTAGACCGGTGGAAATCTGTCCTTTGGTCTGATGAGTCCAAAACCGCCGTGTCTTTGTGAGACGCAGAGTAGGTGAACGGATGATCTCTGCATGTCTGGTTCCCACCGTGAAGCATGGAGGAGGTGGTGTGATGGTGCTTTGCTGGTGACACACTTAACCAGCACGGCTACCACAGCATTCTGCAGCGATACCACATCCCATCTGGTTTGCGCTTAGTGGGACTATCATTTGTTTTTCAATAGGACAATGACCCAAAACAGACCTCCAGGATGTGTAAGGGCTATTTCATCAAGGAGAGTGATGGAGTGCTGCATCAGATGACCTGGCCTCCACAATCACCGACCTCAACCCAATTAAGATGGTTTGGGATGAGTTGGACCGCAGAGTGAAGGAAAAGCAGCTATCAAGTGCTCAGCACATGTGGGAACTCCTTCAAGACTGTTGGAAAAGCATTCCTCATGAAGCTGGTCGAGAGAATGCCAAGAGTGTGCAAAGCTGTCATCAAGGCAAAGGGTGGCTACTTTGAAGAACCTCAAATATAAAATATATTTTGATTTGTTTAACAATGTTTTGGTTACCACATGATTCCATATGTGTTATTTCATAGTTCTGATGTCTTCACTATTATTCTACAATGTAGAAAATAGTAAAAATAAAGAAAAACCCTTGAATGAGTAGGTGTGTCCAAACTTTTGACTGGTACTGTAGTACAGTGGAAATTACAATACAATATATATAAAATGGCTGTGTCTCTTCGCAGTCCCCTTTGTGCAGTAAGGTGTTCTTTTATCTGTTTTTTGAAACTGGTTTTATTGCTAGCTTGAGTTACCCAGGGTGGCAGAGAGTTCCATGTAGTTAATACTGTGCGTTTCCCAGCCTCTGTTCTGGACCTGGGGACTGTGAAGAGACCTCTGGTTGCATGTCTTGTGTTGTACCGATGAGTGTCCGAACTGTGTGCCAACTGCTTGAACAGACAGTTTGGTACCTTCAACACATCAATACCACGCACAAAGACCAATAGTGATGCAGTCAATCTCTCCTCAACTTTGAGCCAGGAGAGACTAACATGCATATATATTACTGACACTTTCCCTCCGTCTACATCTAAGTGAAATACGTGCTGCTTCATCTCCTTACCGGTCCCGGACGATGAGCTCGATGCGGGTCTCGGCAGCGACCTTCAGGACTTTGTGGGCCTTGTCCAGGCTCCAGCCAGCACAGTTCTGCCCATTGATCTGGAGGACTTGGTCCCCGAAGCGCAGGCCCCCCAGGGCGGCCGGGGAGTTGGCCTGAACCAGCTGGATAAACACGCCCTGAGGAGGAGAGGAAATACAACATGTTCCACTGGAGTTATTATCAACACACTGTGCTTAGTCTCCCCTGCTGGAATAACAGATATTCCTCTTAAGTCCACAGTGGAAATGAGATACAATGCATTCGTGAAGTATTCAGACCCCTTTCCTTTACTCACATTGTTATGTTACAGCCTTATTCTAAAATGGATTAAATAAAACATGTTCCTCATCATCCTACACACAATACCTCATAATGACAAAGCAAAAATAGGTTTTTAGAAATGTTAGCAAACGTTTTTCAAATAAAAAATATAAATACCTTATTTACATAAGTATTCAGACCCTTTGCTATGAGACTCGAAATTGAGCTCAGGTGCATTCTGTTTCCATTGATCATCCTTGAAATGTTTCTACAACTTGATTGGAGTCAACCTGTGGTAAATTCAATTGATTGGACATGATTTGGAAAGGCACACACCTGTCTATATAAGGTCCCACAGTTGACAGTGCATGTCAGAGCAAAAACCAAGCCATGTGGTCGAAGGAATTGTGTCAAGGCACACAATTCTCTGGTCTGATGAATCCAAGATTCAACTCTTTGGCCTAAATGCCAAGAGTCACGTATGGAGGAAACCTGACACCATACCTACGGTGAAGCATGGTGTTGGCAGCAACATGCTGTAGGGATGTTTTTCAGTGGCTGGGACTGGGAGACTAGTCAGGATCGAGGGAAAGATGAACGGAGCAAAGTACAGAGAGATCCTTGATGAAAACCTGCTCCACAGCGCTCAGGACCTCAGACTGGGGCGAAGGTTCACCTTCCAACAGGACAACGACCCTAAGCACACAGCCAAGACAACGCAGGAGTGGCTTCGGGACAAGTCTCTGAATGTTCTTGAGTGGCCCAGCCAGAGCCCGGACTTGAACCCGATCTAACATCTCTAGAGAGACCTGAAAATAGCTGTGCAGCGACGCTCCCCATCCAACCTGACAGAGCTTGAGAGGATCTGCAGAGAAGAATGGGTGAAACTCCCCAAATACAGGTGCCAAGCTTGTAGCGTCATACCCAAGAAGACTCAAGGCTGTAATCGCTGCCAAAGGTGCTCCAACAAAGTACTGAGTGAAGGGTTTGAATACTTAAATGTGATATTTCAAAAAAACAGTTTTTGCTTTGTCATTATGGGGTATAGTGTGTAGATTGCTGAGGGGGAAAAAAAACAATTTAATCCATTTTAGAATAAGGCTGTAACCTAACAAAATGTGGAAAAAGTCAAGTGGTCTGAATACTTTCCGAATGCAATGCACATTTATATAGGCTAGACTGCTTATTTAATAGATATGCAGCTATGCTTTAGGAGGGGGGGGGTTTAAGTTTCTTAGACAGATTTAGAACAAGTGCCTGCGCCCCAGATATAGACTGGCCTGAGGATAGATAGATAACCCTAATCTGTAGTCTGGTGGTAGTAAGGCTATCATGATGACTCACATTGTCAATGGCTCTCAGCCTCAGGCCGACCTTCTTATCCTGGTCCTTACAGAGAATGATCTCACGCAGGCCTGGCCGGATCTCTGCCCTCCTGATTCCCACATCTGAACCCGTCACAGGACTCACCATGCCACCGATGCCCATGCATGAGGGCACCGCCACCTGCTGTAGAGGGAGGGGAGAGAGACGGACAGATACAATTGAGAGAGAGAGGGCAGAGATTGGAGCGGTGGAATGGAATGCTACATGAATAAGCAGTTGGAATTGAATGTTACATTAATAAGCAGTTGGAATGTTACATTAATAAGTAGTTGGAGATAGAATGGAATGTCCATGGGATGCGGTATACTGAACAAAAATATAAAACGCAACACTCAACAATTTACAAGATTTTACTGAGTTGCAGTTCATATACGGAAATCAGTCTATTGAAATAAATATCTGATTTCACATGACTGGGAATTCAGATATGCATCTGTTGGTCAGAGAGATACCTTAAAAAAAAAAAAGTAGGGGCGTGGATCAGAAAACCAGTCAGTATCTGGTGTGACCACCATTTGCCTCATGCAGAGCGACAAATCTCCTTCGCATAGAATCGATCAGGCTGTTGATTGTGGCCTGTGGAATATTGTCCCACTCCTCTTCAATGGCTGTGTGAAGTTGCTGGATATTGGCGGGAACTGGAACACCCAAAGCATTCCAAACATGCTCAATGGTTGACATGTCTGGTGAGTATGCAGGCCATGGAAGAACTGGGACATTTTCAGCTTCCAGGAATTGTGTACAGATCCTTGCAACATGGGGCCGTGCATTATCATGCTGAATCATGATGTGATGGTGGCAGATGAACGGCACGACAATGGGCCTCAGGATCTCGTCACGGTATCTCTGTGCATTCAAATTGCCATTGATAAAATGCAATTGTGTTCGTTGTCCGTAGCTTATGCCCGCCCATACCATAACCCCACCGCCACCATGGGGAACTCTGTTCACAACGTTGACATCAGCAAACCACTCGCCCACACGACGCCATACACGCGGTCTGCGGTTGTGAGGCCGGTTGGACATACTGCCAAATTCTCTAAAATGACGTTGGAGGCGGCTCATGGTAGAGAAATTAACATTAAATTCTCTGGCAACAGCTCTGGTGGCCATTCCTGCATTCAGCATACAAATTGCACGCTCCCTCAAAACTTGAGATATCTATGGCATTGTGTTGTGTGACAAAACTGCACATTTTAAGGTGGCCTTTTATTGTCCCCAGCACAAGGTGCACCTGTGTTATGATCGTGCAGTTTAATCTACTTCTTGATATGCCACACCTGTCAGGTGGATGGATTATCTTGGCAAAGGAGAAATGCTCACTAACAGGGATGTAAACTAAAATGTAGATTTTGTGCACAAACTTTGAGAGAAATAAGTTGTGCGCGTATGGAAGATTTTGGGGATCTTTTATTTCAGCTCATGAAACATGGGACCAACACTTTACATGTTGCTTTTATATTTTTGTTTAGTGTAGATTAAATTCCCAGCATCACCTGGAAAACTTCCACTTGCTAAGCCAGGAGGCTTAGGCCCCGAGAACTTAAAGAAGATAAGACGTGCTTTTGACATTGCTTTTTATTTCTCACTCCTATGTTAGAATCTGCGTTGTTTATTTGGCATTTTCTTGAATCTTCATTTTGGTGTTCTAAAGTGAATGAGATAACTAAATGTGAGTGGACATGATACAGGGCAGTATGAGAGCTCACCCATACACACTGGCCTACACACTGAGGGGGAGCAGAGGCCTCACATACACTCACTCACACTCCAGGCTGCTGGTGAGTGAGTCAGTAGCAGTCTAGGAACACAGTGCTATACGGCACTTTGGTTTCTAAAGAGTCTTCTTTGACTCAGCCTCATAGCTCCTCCAAAACCACTGTCCCTCCTGCCTCCCCCCCCAAAAAAACTAGGCTCCATGTCTCATTCTTGTACCACGCTTGACAAGATATGTACGAATGGAGAGATGAGGAAATCGTACCAAAACACGCTCGAGTATATCTCTTGTTGAAGCCTTGTGGTTTGCATTCACTAGCTACATCCGCTGAATTACTAGCTGCACTTCAGAATACCCTTTTGAATGCAACCTATTCTGTGAGGCAGAGGAAGCTTCAGTCAGGGCTGTGTGGTCTTCACTAGAGACAAACAGGATGTGTTGTTAGCTGGCCTGATTGCACTGGGGTCTGCTGTCTGACATCTAAGCATCAGATAGATAGAAGCAATATCACACAGTAAAAATAGACCTTACATAATATTCAGTCATCCACAGACTCCTCCTCTTATCCCCCAGGAGAAAACACCTCTGACTGAGATCACGACTGACATCCTTCACACAAATGCACAGGGACACCATCTGACATACACCAACAACAAGAGGTAGGCTCTCTCTCATAGTGCTTGGTGGATTAACACCACCCACAATACTTACATTGTCTGCCATGGGCACCAGGGCCATGTTCCTCTGCACCTCATCACTGTTGAGGCTCAGGCCCATGTACTCTCCCAGATCCTCCAGGTTAGGGTACAGGGCTAGAAGAGAACAACACATTAATACAATGATGAATTTGGACGATACTAATTATGACTCCTGGCTGAGGCAAAAGTAAACAATGGATTATTGTGGATTCAGTCACTATGGGCCTTCAGACAACTCAAGGTAAGGGGAATTTGACCCAAACATACATTTTGCATTAACTATCCCCTTAAAATAAACATGCAGCATTCAGAAGAGTCAACAAATCAGAACATAACAATACTGACACTCCCACATTACTGTAAGTCTCTTCAGTCGGTGTGTGTTACAATATTTACACAATAAGTAATAAGACACATTGAATTCCCATACATTGTGATGGGTGGGGTCCAGGGGAGTACATCATGGGTTCTATTCACAGTCACACTGACCATTAGAGCAGGGTTAGTCTTGAACTGCTCTGCTCTGCTCAGGAGGAATGCTGCTAACCTGGCTGCTGTGCTTTAGCACAGTTATCGTTTCCTGACATGACTCCCTCTCTTCCTAGCTCTGAGAGAAAAGGCCATGTTTCCATGTTCCACTTCTCTGGCAGGAGGAGGCTGGGCTGGAGTGCCCTCACAGTACAAAGGGAAGGGAGCACTGCCGCTACCTCACTCTCCAAACAAGGTGCATGACTTGAGGAGAAAACCTTGAGGAGATTCAGCAACTCTCGGAGGACAATGGAAGTCAATAAAAATCTTATTTATTAAGTAAAACCAACATGTTTTGGCTCTTGCCCTCAGAGTATTGCACATGCCCAGTGAACAGGAGACCTGTGCTATGTCACACCCACACTCGGAGCACAGTGGGAAGGGTGGAAAGGAAAAGGACACATGCATACAAAGGTACACAGATAGATGCAAAGACATGGTAGACTGATATGATAAGACAGAGACAGTCAAACAGTACACAAGCAATAAACATAAAAGTCATACAGGCTATAGGGCACTATTTTTGGTTCAAGCAAACGAATACACATGATTGACACACAGAGAACACCACCCACACGGACCACAGATGCTGTATGTGAGAAGGATTTGCAGACAGTGATTCACCCAACCACCACCTACACGCATCATTAGAACCTCTTCCACCCAGTAAAAACTATAACACCAACCCACCCACACTGCTCAGTCTATGCATTGGCTTGGTTAACATGCATACTCAGTTACTAATGTAACTCACACATACATGCAATCCCACTCCGCTAATAGAGGATATAAACACACTTTTGCCTGGTATAATCTGTTATACCTCCCAGAGCTGCAGCGTTCTGCCAACCCCAGGGATTAAATACTGTCTCAGTGTCACTCTTTCACTTTCTCCTGACCGCAACACTGGCCTCTGTGGATCACCAGGGCTAATCCTGACCTCAACACTGCTTTACCAGAACTGTAGTAACATCCGTAAGTATGCATAATTTACTACCACAAATAACTAAACTATAAGAGGCTAAATACAGGGAATCAGACAGAGGGATATTTGAGAGATGGTAAGAAGAAGAATTAAGAGAAGGAATATATAAAAAAAAAAGAAGAAAGGATATGAAGGCTGAAAGAGGGATATGAGGAAATGAAGGGAGAGGAACAAGAAGGGATGCAGAGATGAGACATGAAGAATGACAGGAGGAAGTGAGGAAAGGAGGGTAGCTGGGGAAGAGGGGGAGAGAAGAAGGGGGAGGGAAGAGGGCAGGAGTGGGAGCTGTGTTTGGGCTGTATAGTCTAGTGATGATGTCAGGGCCATTTCCTTCACCTCCTTTCCGGTCTGTCCCCTTCAGGCCTGAGGAAAAAACTCCCATCCCCCATCCTCAGCCCTGCTGCCAGGCCAGCCTTCTCCATGGCAACCCTAAGCTAGCTCCACTGGAAGAAAACAAAAGCCCAGAGGACATCCCATCCTGAGAGAGAACCGGAGAGAGTGAGACAGAGAGAGCAAGAGTGAAAGAGGAGAACGAGTGAGAAAGAGCAGAAAACCACATATTTTCCTCCCCTGGGCCCCCTGTCCATCTTCTACCTTCCTTTTATCTTGTACCTCTGCATCCTCCCTCCCTCCATTGGACTCCCTGCATTGAGGGACTGCTCACTGCAGTCTCCCTGCCCATTTCACCCTCACTCAAAGAAAGACCCTGAGGCTGAGAGGAGAGTGAGAGCCACTGAGTAGGAGCTGAGGCTGAGCTGAGGGAAATGACATTCACTCCCCTGGTATGCCTAAGAGCCCATACCCCCACTCACTCCCATCCTCTCTCTACGCATGTATTTATCTCCCCTCAATACCACAGCACACGATAGAGCAGGCAGGCCTTTCCCATCTAAGAATAGACTGAGAAGAGACAAAGTTGGAGAGGGAGAGAGTGAGAGATCAGGGCCTGTGTTCACAAAGCATGTCAGAGTGCTGATCTAGAATCCGGTCCCCTCTCTTATTATGATTTAAAAGACAAAACAGATCCTAAATAAGCACTCCTACTCTGAGATGCTTGGTGAATATGGGTCCTGGTCTGGAAGTGGGCAACAAACAGGGAATCTATAAAATATGGTATGTGATCTTGGTAAAGGCCTCACAGACCCAGGGACCTACTTGTTGATGGCATCCCCAGCCCAGCAGCCTGTGGCTGGTAGGTCCCCTCAGTGATGGTTGGGTAGGTCCCCTCAGCAATAGCTGGGGTAGCAGTGGTATGGGCAAATTGGGCTTGGGCCTAGGGAGAAAGACAGTAGAGCAGTGTATTAAGTTGCCATACTGAAACTCAATACGACTCCTATAGTATAAGAGGACTTCTCCCCCGCCTATATACACAATATCATTAAGCTAGCACATGCAAATAAGTACAAATATGTGTAAGAACAGCCACCTCATTCTTATTGGAAGGGAAAAAACAGGAAAGGGAAAAAGGTTGTCACACCTTACAATAATATGCAGCTGGACTGATATGCATTACAACATTTATTTAGAAGACAAAATGTTACTAGAGAGTGTAATGGACCCTAGAACACTATGGCGTAAGCTTCAGAGTACTGCTCAAATTTTTCTTACACTCTTAACAAAGAGCAAGGCCAATTTCATTGAAATGTTTATTTTGGTTTTAGCCTCCCTCTAGCTTCATTGTTATCAGGAAGAGTACTTGATCAGCCGAGAGGAGCTCTGAGTAGCCTACTTCAAAATGGTTGAATATTCTGTCCGCTACTGGGTTTGTCTTACTTTCATGACCTTGTCCACCTTAAGGTCCTCGAGGGATGGATACAGCGACATTCTGTGGGGGATAAAAACAAAATAAACCGTTTAAGAGTTGGCATGCGAGGAGTAAAATCTGCATTAATACAAAGGAGATCTCACCCATCAACTGCTAACCTTTGATGAGAATCACTAGCTGAAACTGAGGGTGAGGACAGGTCCAAAGAGGGGGAATGATGGAGTTTCGACCACACAGACAGCTGGTTGGAGTACACAGCAGTTGGTCTGTCTGTCGATAGACCGTGACCATAATCAGCTATGACAGTGTGACAGACATGGCATGGCATTGAGACTCCAGAACCATAATGCTCTTAATGACATTCCTGTTTTTCAATTAAGTGTTTCACCACTAATCCACCATGATCCGTTTCTGCACATCAAGCCCCCTTCCTTCATCATTGCTCATCGTTTCATTATTGGGAGACGAAAAAGAGAGAGAAAGGTAGCTAATGGCAACAGAAATATGTGATGTAGGCTAAGGAGTGGGTGGGTGGTCAGAAACCTCACACCCTACAAGACCAAACAAACAAGTCAGAGGAACCCTTATTATCCACATAGGCTGAGCTAGTTCTAGAACTAACCATTTAGAAACTGACTGTAGCCTATAGACTAAGGCTTAAGCTAACAGTCAAAACATACACAGCAGGCAGAATGTGTCATCGTTCACACACAGCCATCCCCCAGGCACTTCATTGGTTATAAAACATGTTATGCAGCCTCAACCTGCTTTCTGCCTTGTCCCCAGCCACTGAACGAGCACACAGCCAAAATATCTCAATGAGCCACTTTTGATATCCGGTCGTCTACTATCAAGAAGAAAACACCGACGGACATAAAAAAAAAAGTTGCTAGCAACTGTACTAAAACCAAGAAAGTTAAACTGAAACCTATTAGCAAACACTGAAAAATATGAGGAAGCTTGTTGTGGCATCTGCCTGGTATGTGACAGGCCTGATTTGATCTGTGGTGCAACGTACTGAGGGTAAATACAGACAAGTACTTGCGCTCTCAAAGCTGGTAAACAAAAGCACAGAAGTGATCATGGGAAACTATCATCATATGGCTGAGGAAGACAGAGCAAAACTAATGGATCTAGGCCTAATTGAATAGCAAGAGACAAACAGGATGACAGTGCAAATTCCCTTTTACTGGAAGTGGTACAGCCAGAGGTAATAAGCAACTAAGGGCTCACTTATATTACACTCATTAGAAAGAAAGGGAGGACATGAAACAGAAAGAGAAGGAAAGGTAGGACATGAAACAGAAAGAGAAGGAAAGGTAGGACATGAAACATAGAAAGAGAAGGAAAGGTAGGACATGAAACAGAGAAAGAGAAGGAAAGGTAGGACATGAAACAGAGAAAGAGACGGAAAGGTAGGACATGAAACAGAGAAAGAGAAGGAAAGGTAGGACATGAAACAGAAAGAGAAGGAAAGGTAGGACATGAAACAGAGAAAGAGAAGGAAAGGTAGGACATCACCCTGTCGTTCTCCGCTAACATCAAGGCGGTGACCCGATCCTGCAGGTTCATGCTCTACAACATTCGGAGAGTACGACCCTGCCTTACACAGGAAGCGGCACAGGTCCTAATCCAGGCACTTGTCATCTCCCGTCTGGATTACTGCAACTCGCTGTTGGCTGGGCTCCCTGCCTGTGCCATTAAACCCCTACAACTCATCCAGAATGCCGCAGCCCGTCTGGTGTTCAACCTTCCCAAGTTCTCTCACGTCACCCCCCTCCTCATGGTGCTTGCCTATGGAGCAGTGAGGGGAACGGCACCTCCGTACCTTCAGGCTCTGATCAGTCCCTACACCCAAACGAGGGCATTGCGTTCATCCACCTCTGGCCTGCTGGCTCCCCTTCCTCTGCGGAAGCTGGATAAGAGCGTCTGCTAAATGACGTAAATGTGCCCTTGAGCAAGGCACTTAACCCTAATTGCTCCTGTAAGTCGCTCTGGATAAGAGCGTCTGCTAAATGACTAAAATGTAAATGTAAATGACATGAAACAGAGAAAGAGAAGGAAAGGTAGGACATGAAACATAGAAAGAGAAGGAAAGGTAGGACATGAAACATAGAAAGAGAAGGAACGGTTAGGGCATGAAACATCGAAAGAGAAAGGCACGGGTTAGGACATGAAACATCAGAAAGAGACGGACGGTAGGGGACATGAAACATAGAAAGAGAAGGAACGGTAGGACATGAAATAGAAAGAGAAGGAAAGGTAGGACATGAAACATAGAAAGAGAAGGAAAGGTAGGACATGAAACATAGAAAGAGAAGGAAAGGTAGGACATGAAACATAGAAAGAGAAGGAAAGGTAGGACATGAAACATAGAAAGAGAAGGAAAGGTAGGACATGAAACATAGAAAGAGAAGGAAAGTAGGACCATGAAACATAGAAAGAGAAGGAAAGGAAAGGAAAGGTAGGACATGAAACAGAAAGAGAAGGAAAGGTAGGACATGAAACAGAAAGAGAAGGAAAGGTAGGACATGAAACATAGAAAGAGGAAAGGTAGGACATGAAACAGAGAAAGAGAAGGAAATGTAGGACATGAAACAGAGAAAGAGGGAGGGAGAGGGAATGACAGTTAATCACGACAGAGTACACACTTTCATTATACAGAGTAAATAGAGATCAGCTGTAGCACAGGGCGTAGCAGAAACTCAACGAAACCTGATACAGTAGATACCATGCCCAAGAGTGTGAGCCCTGTCACTTATGAATGACTAATCATTATGCAACTTAAACATACACACCTTGCCTTTAAGGACAAGGGCTTTCACCATTGTGCTTTTCTGATGGTGTTGGTGTATGCGTACATTGAATTCACAGGTGGAGTTTAGGACCGATGGTTATGACGTCACCTGAGCCATACGGGGGTCATTCCAGGAAGACATGAACTGGTATGCTCACATTTCCAGTACAAGATCAGAATCAATCACTGTCAATAATAGGTTTATAAGTTGGTGACCCACAACAACTTATTCTTTAGAATATGGTTGAGAAAGGAAAAGTCCAAGAAGTGCTGTTCCTTTGTCACTTCTCTATTACTGACAGTGACACCATATTTTGTGAAAAGATCACAAGATCTGCTGTACGCTAGGAACAGGAAATAGGAACTTAGAGGTAGGCAATGAAAAACACTACAGAACACACGACTAAATGAACTATACAACACACAGCTTACTTAGAAGGAAAAACACTTCTACACATGTATAAACCCTATCCCACAACATTGATGAAAATTACACTTACTCCTAAATGCATAATACTGCCAAATGAATAGAACCAAATCCTGAATACAACCAAATCCTTGTTCCGCTAAAAGACCAACATACAAGACAACCACACACTTGTGAAAAAACATAACCCTACTAACAAGTTGACACTACTACACAGTAATACGGATAAAAATAAGCATAATAATGTGAACATTCTGCACAATCCCAGAGCCAAGCTAAACATGCCGACCACAATCACATTACTGAGGAATTTCCCGCTCAGGCCCAGACTACGCATCCCATTCACAGACCAGGGAGACAAACACTCCATTATGTCATTGAGCACCAAGGCACTTTCCAGGTTTTCATTTAAACTGTTCCTTTTATCTCATTCACCATTCAGAAACATGGGCTGGGTTATTCCCGGGTAAGCTTGGAAAATAACCTTATTTTCGTCCTCAACTAGGAACTACAAGTTTTCTTTTAGGACTGAGTTGGGTGGAATTCCTTAGCAAGAATATATTAACTTTAAGACTCAAATAGGGACACAAGATGTGTGTCTTGCACAATGTGCTTCTGACAAGAATATCCTGAGAAATGCAACTTCAGTCGCTCTGTAGGAAATACTAACGTCCATTTTTGTAAACTGGGTTTTGGTCTAGCCACTACCCCGACATGTCCAGCAGCAGCTACAGAGGGGCAAACTTCAGCACTTCCTTGAGCCTGAACGAATTAGCTAGATACATGAGGAATGTTATCCCCTTGGCAACGTATTCTGGTCTATTGACATGGTTGAGAAAGGGGGCTGTGGTAATCATGGCCAGAGAGCAGGGATGGTGGGGGAGGAGGAAAACTATGACAATGATCACAAGGTCTGTTATAACTTATGTATGTACTTTTTTATGTCCAGCGCACCACTATGGCAGCACTCACCCTCCTCTTTTTCAACCAGTATATACCAAGTTTTTAAAGATATAGGCCTAGCTGCCCATTCAGAATCTTCTCCTTCGAAGTCCTACTGCACAATACTATAAACATATTAATGAACCCGTTTCAGTGCTGATCAGTGTCTAGAGGTTCACCCACACTATACGATTCTAAAACAGAAGGTTGATATTGTGCCAAACATTAACCTATTAACCACATTTTCCTAAGCCTGGTTACAGCTAGTTCTAGTTAGACACCTGTAATAAATTATATGGATATTTAGAGAGTTGGACCAATGTGGTTTCTGGATGATACATTTCAACATTCTATGCCAGCCATGTTAGCTCCCCATCAACATTACATGGGGAATATTTCAACAATGCTATGTAACTGAATGTCTAGAATGTTGAACAATATTCAACATTCTAAAAGTTTGCCTAACTCTCTAACTTTAAATCTATGGCCCTGAAGCTAGGTTACAGTTGATAGCTCTACACAGATCTCTAGTGTGACATTTTACATTCTCCAGAATGTGTCAAGAAAGCAGATAATATCATGAGTCAGGGATTTCAAACATTGAGTTAAACAGCTGTAAACAACGACAGTTAACGTTAGCTAGCTAGTTAGCTACTTCACTGGCTAGGCTAACTTTAATAGCCTTACTTACTATGACTAACAATGACACCATTGGACGGTACATATATTAACTACTTAGTTAGCAAACGTGTTTAGTTAGTTAACTAACTGTTCACGTTATATACTAGCTAAACTATAGGATTTAATCAGCTAAGAAAACGAAGTTGTTGCTAAACGATAAGCGATAATTAGTAGTAGCTAGCTAGTTAGGTTAGACAGTTAGCTAGCTTAATCAATGTATCAAGACAACACTTTCTTTGTTCATCTAATCTCGACTAACACATCGCTGGTGAACACTAACTTGGTTTAACCAATCACAACCTTGCTTCGCTAACAGTTAGATAGGTAGCTAGCTATTAGCCCTTATTCATGATTTACATTCGATTTCAATTATATTAGCTAGCTAAATTAGCTTCGCTAGCTAACGGGAGATGTTTTTGGAAATATGTAAACTCACCTTAAAAGTTTTGGTTGTCAATATATTAGTTCGAATACACTTCTCTTTTTCTGCTTCGTACTTTGGACGACACCACTGCTGCTGAGAAATGATATTACTGAGCTATAGAGTGATATTCTGAGTCACCTAACCGCTAATTTCCTGGTCGACAAACGCAAGTCAATCACTGGTGACGTAAACCAATGACGGCCTATCAGCTGCTGTTGTTGAAGTTGTCACAAGAATATTACTTACTCAACGCATAGCTAGCTACATAATGAATGCATGATGAATATCTTTGCAAGTACACTGTTGAAATTGAGAAATCTGGGGTGGTTATAGACAGAATATGTGCATTTAGTTCGCTCAGACAGGAACTGTAAATGGGTGAAAAATATGAGCATAGGCTAGTAGTCAGTGGTGTAAAGTAACTAGCTACGCAAAAATACTTTGAAGTACTACTTAAGTAGTTTTTAGGGGTTTCTGTAGTTAACTTTACTATTTATATTTTTGACAACATTAACTTTTACTCCACTACATTCCTAAAGAATATATATACGTTTTACTCCCATACATTTTCCCTGACACGCAAAAGTACTTGCTGCATTTCGAACACTTAGGCAGGACAGCAATATGGTCCAATTCACACACCTATCTATATAATACATTGCCATCCCTACTGCCTCCAATCTGGCACACTCACTTTACAGAAATACTGCGTTTGTCAATTATGTCTGAGTGTTGGAGTGTATATAAACATTTTTTTAAATGTGCCGTCTGGTTTGCTTAATATAAAGAATTTGATGTATAGCATTTACTTTTACTCAAGTATGCCAATTGAGTACTTTTTCCACCACTGTACTTAAGTACATTTAAAACCAGATAGCCTACTTTTACTCAAGTAATACTTTACTGGATGACTTTCACTTTTACTTTAGTAATTTTCTATTAAGGTATCTTTACTTTTACTCAAGTATGACAATTGAGTAGTGCAGACGGTGGAACAATTATGCCACTCCTCTATGGCTGCGTTTACACAGGCAGTCTAATTCTGATATTTTGCCAATAATTGGTCTTTTGACCAATCAGATCAGATATTTTGCCAATAATTGGGCAAAAGATCAGAATTGGGCTGCCTGTGTAGCCTTAGGCTTGCTATGACTTATGGTTCATATACAGGTAACTGCCAAAATAAAGGAAACAACAACACAAAGTGCCTTAATAGGGCATTGGGCCACCATGAGACACCAGAACAGCTTCAATGCACCTTGGTATAGATTTGACAAGTGTCTGTAGCTATTGGAAGGATGCGACACCATTCTTCCACAAGAAATTCTATCATTTGGTGTTTTGTTGATGGAAAACACTGTCTCAGGCACTGCTCCAGAATATACCATAAGTGTTCAATTGGGTTGAGATGTGGTCACACACACAAGGCAGCAGCTAATGGGGATCCAGAATGAATGAATGCGCACGCACGCACACAATGGGCAACTGGGCATTTTTATACATGACCCTAAGCATGATGGGATGTTAATTGCTTAATTAACTCAGGAACCACACCTATGTGGAAGCACCTGCTTTCAATATACTTTGTTTCCCTCATTTACTCAAGTGTTTCCTGTATTTTAGAAGTTACCTGTATATTCTAATCCCCTCAAACTCAACTCTGGACCTCGAAGGCCCTGTGTAGCTCAGTTGGTAGAGCATGGCGTTTGCAACGCCAGGGTTGTGGGTTCGATTCCCACTGGGGGCCAGTATGAAAAAATGTATGCACTCACTAACTGTAAGTCGCTCTGGATAAGAGCGTCTGCTAAATGACTAAAATGTAATGTAATGAAGCCATTGTCCCCCTCTAATCAGGGACTGATTTAGACCTGGCACACCAGGTGTGTGCACTTAACTATCAGGTAGAACAGAAAACCAGCAGGCTCCAGACCTTGTTGGGGAAGAGTTGAATTCCCCTGTTCTAATCTATATGAACATGAATGGTCACTCTTAAGGTTTAGCTATTCCACAGATTCAGCTTCTATAGCAAAATAGACTAATTCAACACCCAGATACTTTAAAATTGTTTTATCCTTGATGCCAGATAATCCATTAATTCACCTAGTCAGGATAAATCAAATGTATGCATACCCATATACCCACCAATATCAGTGCAACAGTATAGTCTACCACCAATGTCCCACTTTTTACGACACCCAGATACCCAATGTCCTCTAGGTTAATGGTAGAGCAGAGAGGGATTTTCTTTTTTTCTTCCCAAAGCAGTTCATAATTGGTTTTGCCTGCGTATGTAACTCAGCACACAAATAGACATTACATAAGACTGTTTTTTGTGCCACACGCCTAGAAAATTGTAACATCAAGAGCAACGATGGCCAGCATCTGAAAAGGTTCTTTCTGCATTATAATTAACTCTATTTCAACAGATTTGATTTAATGTGATACAAAACATGGATGCCTCGGTCACCTGAATACAACAACACAGCATTTCATTTAGGCAGTGTGGTCAATCTTAATGACACTGACAAAATATTTACCCTTACATTACAGGTACAGTACAGTATAAGTCATTCTTAGTTAGAAAGTTAGCATCTGAAAAATATAATGGCAAGTTGTGAAACAAAATAAGGTGGGGAGGTCACAATTGAATCGATTCCACAACCCTGAATTTCAAGCATTTCACTTCTAAGAAAGGCATCATCACTACTCCAATTTATGAGAGTATACTACAGAGCCATTTTCTGTTTACCATCAAAAGTCACTTTCCCGACATAAAAAAAAACTCTGTAGCAGAATAGCTAACGCCGATGTCGGGACCTTGGCAAACTTAACAGTGAGTGAGTGATGACCATAAAAACACACAATGGTTATAGCCATGTTTAACAAGTATATTATTCTTCTGGCTTTATCTAGCTCTATTTGTGATATTTGACCTTGCCTCACTGACTAGGTATTCAATCCTCCAGATTACATCTGCAATGTTATAGATGATAACCATCTGATTACGTGTTTGTTAACTTGCACTAGCTGCATTTGAAGTTGCATGTGATCATATCCACTGCTAAGTAAACTAAGAAGTTTCTCTTCGAACTGCGTGCGCCCGAGAACTGGATCTATACGGTTCCCCCATCTTTACACTAATAATAACACGTTTAAAGCTCTCAATGGGGTTAAAGATTTGACTTGGAAAGAAAAAACTATAATAAGTTATTCAAATGCAAGCATTAAACACCTATAGATCAGGATATTATTAACAAGCAGACTGGGCTAGGTGGTGATACAACAATTCTCTACTGTACTAGTTCCTAATAAAATTAACAATGAAAATGAAAGAAAATATCACTATCTATGAAAGGTCTAGATAACTTAACAGTATAAAATAAGAATTTTGTTTGATAGGTAAGGTATCCCATGACTCAATATTTTACTACACCTATGCCACTCAACATTACACAAAACAAAATCAATTCATATTTGTTCTACTTTCAGCTGGGAGAGGTGTGGATGCAAATATGTGCTTTTCATATTCTTTTAAATGTTTGTTCCTCGGTTAAAAAGGGAAAATCCACTCAAAAACATTCTAAGCATTTTCATCATCATGATGTGGCCCGTGACACTTTGCTTCTTGAAAGTCCAATATCTTGACTGCTGACATGCAAAACATTTTGGGACTGAATCAACAATGGACTAATGAAAAAAAAATACCAAAAGATTGTTTGAGTGCATTTTCCCTTTAAGATTCACTCAAGCACCAGCCGTCCATGTTAGTGATAGGTACTCTTACAAATATATTAATGTCGATGCTAATATTTCATTGGTATTTTGTATTATTCATAACCATGCACAACCAATAATTTGAGAAACAAAGCAAAAGTAAAGCACAATTCAAAAATTCAAGATTAAGAACATCGAGATTTGTAAAGTTATGGTCCATAGGTGTTAACAGGATGAATTGAAAGAAGAAGAAAAAATTACTGAGTCAGTAACCAGGTTTCCATCCAACCTTTTTATGCGAGTAAAGTACATGTCACAGGCCTGATGGAAACAGCAAATTTGTCTGTGAACTTTCCAAATGTCGACTAAACAAAATAAGCTACACAAGGTGGGATCTTTTTGTGTCGGTCAAATTAATTCTGCTTTTATGCGCAAATATTGATAACTATCATCTCGAAGTAAACTTGAAGTCACGCGATGATATGTTGTGTGGTCCTCCCACTACGACTCAGGAAAGCATGCAGTTTATTAGGCTACAGATAAAATCTGTTATAATGACCTTCACAGGGTGGTGAAAGTGCACGGTGATGAGCTTGATGCTCCTTTCAATAAATATCGAGGGTCTTATTCTGGTGACATGAAGATCGATGCTTGGCTGCCGTTTGACAAAAAATATATAATCTCGCTCTTTTGTAGGCTATACCCGCACTGTATCTGCGAGCTGTTGGCTAGAGCACACGTGCCAATACCAGTGGGCACATTTGCTATAACGCAACATTTTTTGTGAAAAAAAACATCAGTAGAGTTTGAAAATGTAATGAAAACCCATAAAAATAAATCAGTATATGGAAATGTAACTGCAAAGGTTATTTTTATGTGCAATACATCATCACGCACAACCATTTATCTGCAACAAGTCAATTTGATGAAAACATCTCGGTGGGAAAATGTACATTTAGAATATTCGCATGAAAATCTGTCGACAATTGGATGGAAACCTAGCTACTGACAAAAACACAGATATTGTATTCATGGATAAAATATTGACCAAAGTGTTGGAACTATAGACTCAATCTTCTTATAGAATCAAGTGCAGACTCTCCTAGCTTCTCTATATGTTTCCAATGTAGGAAGTGACCTGCAAAAGACACAAAGAGGAGGAGAAAGGAATTAGATCAAAACCATTGCTAAAACCATACCAGACTTGTAGGTGACATATACAGGACTGAACTACGCAAACCAGATGCATTTGTACTATTACTTCAACTGAGAATAACAAAACACTTTGAAATTCTTCAAAAAGTACTTACAAAAAAATGAAATAAAAGGCAGTGGAGATGCTTCATTCAAGGCTTAGTAGCTCAACATCAAAGATGAGGGTGGCGTTGGGTGGGATGATCCCCGGGTGACCCTTCGCCCCGTAAGCAAAGTCAGGCGAGCAGGTCAGCTTGGCCCTCTGACCGACACTCATCTGCAGGACAAGAAAGGGAGAGAGGACATAGCTTATCTCAGCGTATCTGTGCCTGACCTATGGTTCATTTTTGAGAGAAGCATTCATTGAAACTGTTGACAACTTTTTTGCTAAAATCTTATTAATTATGCATCACTTTTTGGTTAGACTTACAGTGAGGGAAAAAAGTATTTGATCCCCTGCTGATTTCGTACGTTTGCCCACTGACAAAAGAGCTCTCCAATGATGTCAGGGACCTACACAAGGCTGGAATGGGCTACAAGACCATCGCCAAGCAGCTTGGTGAGAAAGTGACAACAGTTAGTGCGATTATTTGCAAATGGAAGAAACACAAAAGAACTGTCAATCTCCCCCGGCCTGGGGCTCCATGCAAGATCTCACCTCGTGGAGTTGCAATGATCATGAGAACGGTCAGGAATCAGCCCAGAACTACACAGGAGGATCTTGTCAATGATCTCAAGGCAGCTGGGACCATAGTCACCAAGAAAACAATTGGTAACACACTACGCCGTGAAGGACTGAAATCCTGCAGCGCCCGCAAGGTCCCCCTGCTCAAGAAAGCACATATACATGCCCGTCTGAAGTTTGCCAATGAACATCTGAATGATTCAGAAGAGAACTGGGTGAAAGTGTTGTGGTCAGATGAGACCAAAATGGAGCTCTTTGGCATCAACTCAACTCGCCGTGTTTGGAGGAGGAGGAATGCTGCCTATGACCCCAAGAACACCATCCCCACTGTCAAACATGGAGGTGGAAACATTATGCTTTGGGGGTGTTTTTCTGCTAAGGGGACAGGACAACTTCACAAAGGGACGATGGACGGGGCCATGTACCGTCAAATCTTGGGTGAGAACCTCCTTCCCTCAGCCAGGGCATTGAAAATGGGTCGTGGATGGGTATTCCAGCATGACAATGACCCAAAACACACAGCCAAGGCAACAAAGGAGTGGCTCAAGAAGAAGCACATTAAGGTCCTGGAGTAGCCAGTCTCCAGACCTTAATCCCATAGAAAATCTGTGGAGGGAGCTGAAGGTTCGAGTTGCCAAACGTCAGCCTCGAAACCTTAATGACTTGGAGAAGATCTGCAAAGAGGAGTGGGACAAAATCCCTCCTGAGATGTGTGCAAACCTGGTGGCCAACTACAAGAAACGTCTGACCTCTGATTGCCAACAAGGGTTTTGCCACCAAGTACTAAGTCATGTTTTGCAGAGGGGTTAAATACTTATTTCCCTCATTAAAATGCAAATCAATTTATAACATTTTTGACATGCGTTTTTCTGGATTTTTTTGTTGTTATTCTGTCTCTCACTGTTCAAATAAACCTACCATTAAAATTATAGACTGATAATTTCTTTGTCAGTGGGCAAAAGTACAAAATCAGCAGGGGATCAAATACTTTTTTCCCCTCGCTGTAATTCCACTTTGACATTATGGGGTATTGTGTGTGTGTGTGTAGGCCAGTAACGACAGAAATTGTAATTTATCCATTAAAATTCTGGCTGTTAACACAACAAAATGTGGAAAAGGTAAAGTGGTGTGAATACTTTCTGAAGGCACTGTATATGATACCCTTGGTCAAGATTATCCAGAGGAAATGCATTTAAATTGTTTAATGAATTTCACTGTTCCAGGTACAGGAAAATGGTCTTCATGCATAGCAGTGGTGTAAAGTACTTAAGTTTTACTTAAGTAGTTTTTTGGGGTACAGTGGGGGAAAAAAGTATTTAGTCAGCCACCAATTGTGCAAGTTCTCTCACTTAAAAAGATGAGAGAGGCCTGTAATTTTCATCATAGGTACACGTCAACTATGACAGACAAATTGAGAAAAAGAAATCCAGAAAATCACATTGTAGGATTTTTTATGAATTTATTTGCAAATTATGGTGGAAAATAAGTATTTGGTCACCTACAAACAAGCAAGATTTCTGGCTCTCACAGACCTGTAACAACTTCTTTAATAGGCTCCTCTGTCTTCCACTCGTTACCTGTATTAATGGCACATGTTTGAACTTGTTATCAGTATAAAAGACACCTGTCCACAACCTCAAACAGTCAAACTCCAAACTCCACTATGGCCAAGACCAAAGAGCTGTCAAAGGACACCAGAAACAAAATGGTAGACCTGCACCAGGCTGGGAAGACTGAATCTGCAATAGGTAAGCAGCTTGGTTTGAAGAAATAAACTGTGGGAGCAATTACCAGGAAATGGAAGACATACAAGACCACTGATAATCTCCCTCGATCTGGGGCTCCACGCAAGATCTCACACCGTGGGGTCAAAATGATCACAAGAACGGTGAGCAAAAATCCCAGAACCACACGGGGGGACCTAGTGAATGACCTGCAGAGAGCTGGGACCAAAGTAACAAAGCCTCCCATCAGTAACACACTACGCCGCCAGGGACTCAAATCCTGCAGTGCCAGATGTGTCCCCCTGCTTAAGCCAGTACATGTCCAGGCCCGTCTGAAGTTTGCTAGAGTGCATTTGGATGATCCAGAAGAGGATTGGGAGAATGGCATATGGTCAGATGAAACCAAAATAGAACTTTTTGGTAAAAACTCAACTCGTCGTGTTTGGAGAACAAAGAATGCTGAGTTGCATCCAAAGAACACCATACCTACTGTGAAGCATGGGGGTGGAAACATCATGCTTTGGGGCTGTTTTTCTGCAAAGGGACCAGGACGACTGATCCGTGTAAAGGAAAGAATGAATGGGGCCATGTATCGTGAGATTGAGTGAAAACCTCCTTCCATCAGCAAGGGCATTGAAGATGAAACGTGGCTGGGTCTTTCAGCATGACAATGATCCCAAACACACCGCCCTGGGCAACGAAGGAGTGGCTTCGTAAGAAGCATTTCAAGGTCCTGGAGTGGCCTAGCCAGTCTCCAGATCTCAACCCCATAGAAAATCTTTGGAGGGAGTTGAAAGTCCGTGTTGCCCAGCGACAGCCCCAAAACATCACTGCTCTAGAGGAGATCTGCATGGAGGAATGGGCCAAAATACCAGCAACAGTGTGTGAAAACCTTGTGAAGACTTACAGAAAACGTTTGACCTGTGTCATTGCCAACAAAGGGTATATAACAAAGTATTGAGAAACTTTTGTTATTGACCAAATACTTATTTTCCACCATAATTTGCAAATAAATTCATTAAAAATCCTACAAATGTGATTTTTTTTTCTCATTTTGTCTGTCATAGTTGACGTGTACCTATGATGAAAATTACAGGCCTCTCATCTTTTTAAGTGGAAGAACTTGCACAATTGGTGGCTGACTAAATACTTTTTTCCCCCACTGTATCTTTACATTACTTTTTATATTCTTGACAACTTCACTTTTTCTTCACTACATCCCTAAAAAAATAATGTACTTTTTTTACTCCATATATTTTCCCTGACATCCAAAAGTACTTTTGAATGCTTAGCAGGATAGGAAAATGGTCCAATTCACACACTTATCAAGAGAACATCCCTGGTCATCCCTTTGATCTGACGGACTCACTAAACACACATGCTTCGTTTGTAAATGATGTTGCAGTGTGACCCTGTCTATCTGTAAATAAATAAAAAATGGTGCAGTCTGGTTTGCTTAATAAGGAATTTGAAATGATTTATACTTTTGATATTTAAGTATATTTTAAAACAAATACTTTTAGACTTTTACTCAAGTAGCATTTTACTGGCTGACTTTTACTTAATTTTCTATTAAGGTACTTTTACTCAAGTATGACAATTGGGTACTTTTTCCACCACTGATACATGGTGTTATCTGAACCTATGACATGCTTGGTGGGGTCTATAAAACACTGAAGTAGTTGCATGGGGCAGTGCACACAGTCTGGCCTCTTTGTTTTACAGCCATGTGAAGTGTAGCTGCAGAAGATTTAAAAGGGAGATGTGTGCAACAGGAGGGAGAGAACTGAGACCTTGTGTACCTCAAAGCATTTTGTCTGGGCTATTGACAGGCAATTGGTTAGTGCAACAGATTCAGATGTGCCTGTATTAGCCTTGTTGTGTGGGCTAGGTATTCTCCCAGCTAATGGCACTCCACAAGAGCCCTCAGCATTTTCATCAGAGTCCCCACACTTACAACATGACAAACAACTCCCCTACACACACCATCCTCTGTTTAGTATTCAAATAGTGAGCATCTGGGCTTGGGTCAATTGCTGCTTACAGTGAGGGAAAAAAGTATTTGCCCACTGACAAAGAAATGATCAGTCTATAATTTTAATGGTAGGTTTATTTGAACAGTGAGAGACAGAATAACAACAAAAAAATCCAGAAAAACACATAGCATTTTAATGAGGGAAATAAGTATTTGACCCCTCTGCAAAACATGACTTAGTACTTGGTGGCAAAACCCTTGTTGGCAATCACAGAGGTCAGACGTTTCTTGTAGTTGGCCACCAGGTTTGCACACATCTCAGGAGGGATTTTGTCCCACTCCTCTTTGCAGATCTTCTCCAAGTCATAAAGGTTTCGAGGCTGACGTTTGGCAACTCGAACCTTCAGTTCCCTCCACAGATTTTCTATGGGATTAAGGTCTGGAGACTGGCTAGGCCACTCCAGGACCTTAATGTGCTTCTTATTGAGCCACTCCTTTGTTGCCTTGGCCGTGTGTTTTGGGTCATTGTCATGCTGGAATACCCATCCACGACCCATTTTCAATGCCCTGGCTGAGGGAAGGAGGTTCTCACCCAAGATTTGACGGTACATGGCCCCGTCCATCGTCCCTTTGATGCAGTGAAGTTGTCCTGTCCCCTTAGCAGAAAAACACCCCCAAAGCATAATGTTTCCACCTCCATGTTTGACAGTGGGGATGGTGTTCTTGGGGTCATAGGCAGCATTCCTCCTCCTCCAAACACGGCGAGTTGAGTTGATGCCAAAGAGCTCCATTTTGGTCTCATCTGACCACAACACTTTCACCCAGTTCTCTTCTGAATCATTCAGATGTTCATTGGCAAACTTCAGACGGGCATGTATATGTGCTTTCTTGAGCGGAGGGACCTTGCGGGCGCTGCAGGATTTCAGTCCTTCACGGCGTAGTGTGTTACCAATTGTTTTCTTGGTGACTATGGTCCCAGCTGCCTTGAGATCATTGACAAGATCCTCCCGTGTAGTTCTGGGCTGATTCCTGACCGTTCTCATGATCATTGCAACTCCACGAGGTGAGATCTTGCATGGAGCCCCAGGCCGGGGGAGATTGACAGTTCTTTTGTGTTTCTTCCATTTGCGAATAATCGCACCAACTGTTGTCACCTTCTCACCAAGCTGCTTGGCGATGGTCTTGTAGCCCATTCCAGCCTTGTGTAGGACCCTGACATCATTGGAGAGCTCTTTGGTCTTGGCCATGGTGGAGAGTTTGGAATCTGATTGATTGATTGCTTCTGTGGACAGGTGCCTTTTATACAGGTAACAAGCTGAGATTATGAGCACTCCCTTTAAGAGTGTGCTCCTAATCTCAGCTCGTTACCTGTATAAAAGACACCTGGGAGCCAGAAATCTTTCTGATTGAGAGGGGGTCAAATACTTATTTCCCTCATTAAAATGCAAATCAATTTATAACATTTTTGACATGCGTTTTCCTGGATTTTTTTGTTGTTATTCTGTCTCTCACTGTTCAAATAAACCTACCATTAAAATTATAGCCTGTCATTTCTTTGTCAGTGGGCAAACGTACAAAATCAGCAAGGGATCAAATACTTTTTTCCCCTCACTGTATGTTTGTAGAAATGTTTATAAATTCATTACAAATGAAAACATGAAATGTCTTGAGTCAATAAGTATTCAACACCTTTGTTATGGCAAGCCTAAATAAATTCAGGAGTCACTGTGTGAAATAGTGTTTATCATGAATGACTGTCTCATCTCTGTACCCCACACATACAGATAATAGCACGGTCCCTCAGTCGAGCAGTGAATTTCAAACACAAAAGACCAGGGAGGTTTTCCAATGCCTCGCAAAGGGCACCTATTGGTAGATAGGTAAAAATAAAACATTAAATATCCCTTTGAGCATAGTGAAGTTTAAGGCGTCCTTCCTAACTCAGTTGCCGGAGAAGAAGGAATCCACTCAGGGATTTCACAATGAGGCCAATGAGAACTTTAAAACAAACAGTTACAGAGTTTAATGGCTGTGATAGGAGAAAACTGAGAATGGATCAACAACATTGTAGTTACTCCAAAATACTAACCTAAATGATAGAAGGGAAAAGAATGATGCCTGTACAAAATAAAAAATATTCCAAAACATGCATCCTGTTTGCAACAAGACATTAAAGTAAAACTACACAAAAATATGGCAAAGCAATTCCCTTTTTGTCATGAATACAAAAGTGTTGTATTGGACCACTCTCCATATTTTCAAGCATACTAGTGGCTGCATCATGTTATGGGTATGCTTGTAATCGTTAAGGACTGGGGAGTTTTTCCAGGATAAAAATAAATGGAATGGAGCTAAGCACAGGCAAAATCCTAGAGGAAAACCTGGTTCAGTCTGCTTCCCACCAGAGACTGGGAGATGTATTCACCTTTCAGTAGGGCAATAACCTAAAACACAAGGCCAAATCTACACCGGAGTTGCTTACCAAGAAGACAGTGAATGTTCCTGAGTGGCCGAGTTACAGTTTTGATTGAAATCTGCATGAAAATCTATGGCAAGACCTGAAAATGGTTGTCTAGCAATGATCAACAACCAATTTGACAGAGCTTGACATTTTAAAAGAATAATGTGCAAATATTGTACAATCCAGGTGTGCAAAACTCTTAGAGACTTACCCAGAAAGACTCACAGCTGTAGTCACTGCCTAAGGTGATTCTAATATGTATTGACTCAGGGGGTTGAATACGTATGTAAAATCAAGATAGTGTTTTATTTTTCATGAATTTCTTACAAAATGTTAGAATTTCTTTCACTTTATTTTGTGTAGACAGTATTTTGTGTAGAACGTTTAAAAAAAACTACAAATCAATCAATTATAATCCCACCTTGTAAGATAAAATGTGGAAGAAGCTAAGGGGTGTGAATACTTTGAAGGCACTGTAAGTGACTGCACTGCAAATACATATACATTCCCTCATACACAGATGGGATTTTCTGTGTTACTGCATGTCTAAATTGCAACCTCTCAGTTACAAGGAGATGTGGTAATTTCAATGCAAAACCCTTCTCATGTACTTCCTAGAATTAGAGGCAGATAGACACCAGAGACATCTGCACAGTACACCCACCTGCACCATTCCCTCTTCCCAGCCACGGATCACTTCCTGTTTTCCTATTTTAAACCTAAAGGGCTTGTCCCGGTCACGGGAGGAGTCAAACTTGCGTCCATCTGTCAGGGAGCCTGAACAGGAAGGAGGAAATGAGAACAGAGCAGAAAGGATTTATTTTGACAATCTGTAACAGAGATGGTCTGTCTATGTTTTAAAGCAATAATTTCAGGACTGAACTGGGGGTGCAAGTCCTGTACTAAAACCAAAATGAACTTGAGCTCAAGCAGACAGACAAATACTGTCCCCCAATGGACATACATCATTGTTACAGTTGTAAATATGTATAGATTATTATAATTATTGTTTTATTCACGTCTCTTTTTGACCTGCACTGTTGGAGCTGTACCCTGCAATTACATCTGCGACCCTGTGCATGCGACTGATAAACTAATCTAATCAAGTCAGAATAAGGGATTCCAAGGATTGCAGAAATAGCCCCTGCAGCGGTCTCTGAGGTGGGAAAAAAAGACTGGAAAATGGGGCCATAACTGGGCGTCTGCAGACAGGCATACTGTACATCCAAGGAGCCATCCGCTATGTACTGTTATTAACGCCAATCAGGCCGGGAGGGCGCTAATCGCTGGCGTGCTGTACAGTGGCCAGATTCAATGACCCTGCTGCACGTCTCTCTATTTAATTATCTATTAGGGATGGAATTCAATAACATTTTCAGTTGTATTTCTTTGAGGTTAAACAGTATGGTTGTTGAATGTAACAACTAGCCTAAATGCCCCTTTCATTGAGTAGACTGTGCAAATAGGAGACGGTCTTAAAAGTAGACTCAGCGACATGACGTTGCCATGACCAGCACAGCAGATATGTATCAGATGAGCATCACTGAGTCTACCTTTAACATAACATTTACATTTAAGTCATTTAGAAGACGCTCTTATCAAGTGGCAATGTCAATCTAACTGAAAAAAATAAATCAACCACTGCACCTATTATCCTATTGGGTTTGTTCCATTAAACTAATTAGTAAACAATTAAAAGGAAACGAGTCACTCCAGACTGCGATAATCCGTTCTATCAAATTTAGGCAGGAAATCAGACATGGTTTAAATCCCTCACCGTCTTGTCGGTGTCTCGGACTTAACTCTGCGTCGGCCGACGTCTGAAGGCTTTCAAGACAGACACATTAAATTGCTTTTACCATACTACAACCACCGATGGTGACAGGCGGCAACAATGTAACAAAGTAGTAGAGACTTCTCGCACGCGATGTTCCAATGTTCCTATAACTGCATTCCAATACAAAGAAGCAGCCTCCCTGTACAAAAAGCTTTAATGCAACACATGGATGGGTGGCCAGCTACAGTTGTATTTGCAATTGCATCCTAATGAAATTCCCTTGAATTAAAAAATATAGTATTCCTACACAGCCAATAGAGCCCGAGACAAAAATACACCCATTCGCCAAGGCTACTGATACAACATGCGGCCTATCAAAATAATGAATGAATCAAAGAAACGTTTGGAATTTGCAGTGGTACATGCATAAACCTCAGAAAATCTCCCAAACTCACCAACATAATGCACGACACACGTCTGTCCTTTTTTAGGGAAAGTCCTTCCTGTGGAAGAAAAAGCGCTTAGAAAAACAGGATAACGGGCATGAGAAGAAGTCAGAAACGATTATTAATTAATTTGAAAGAACGGAAATCCATCATAAATCTTAAGCGAAGATATGCATAAAAAATATTTTACCATCGCCCGGGGTTATTGTCTCAATTTCGACTCCCATTTTGTTCGTTACACCCTAGCAAGAAACTCGCCTCCCGCAATCTGCTACTTCAGCGGCTGTTCTTAACTGTCTCCGTGCAGCGGCGTCTACCACGTGATGTGCACGTAGCCGTTACGCCGGAAAAAGTGGGTGTGCTCCTCACACCCTATGATCTGTCAACCCTATTCTCCCTCTGCCCTATTGTCCCTCTGCCCTATTATCCCTCAACCCTATGTTCCCTCAACCCTATGTTCCCTCAACCCTGTGTTCCCTCAACCCTATGTTACCTCAGCCCAAAATCCCTCAATCCTATGTTTCCTCAGGCCTATGTTCCCTCAACCCTGTGTTCCTGCAGCCATATGTTAAATATAATAAATAAATATGCCATTTAGCAGACGCTTTTATCCAAAGCGACTTACAGTCATGCGTGCATACATTTTTACGTATGGGTGGTCCCATCCCTCAGCCATATGTTCCCTCAACCCTTTGTTCCCTCAACCCTTTGATCCCTCAACCCTTTGATCCCTCAACCATTTGTTCCCTCAACCCTTTGTTCCCTCAGCCCTATGTTCCCTCAGTACCCACTGAACCAATTTCAATCAAAATGCTTTTTCAGCATCTTCACCAATATGTAAGGGTGTATGGGACCTACTGAACATGTTCAATCACTGTGACCTTGACCTTTTGTTAATATTAGCCTACAGCATCTGGATGGCATTTTCGGAGATAAAAAAAAATGCATCTTAGCATCTACCTAACTCAAGTAATTTTATAATGATTGGCTCAAATAGTCGTATGTAAAATTATATGGCCTAGGACACACTGAAATATTGAATAATTGGTGACTGGAAAAAAATGTCTGAGTATGCTAACAGTCCCGAAAATTAGAACAGCACATGGAAAAAAAAGAGGAGTATTTTCAACCCTCCTCTCCTCCCTTTCTGCATCTTTTGACTCTCTATGTCCCCTATCCTCCCGGCCGGCTCGGTCCTCCCCTCCTGCTCCGTGGCTTGATGACTCATTGCGAGCTCACAGAAGAGGGCTCCGGGCAGCCGAGCGGAAATGGAGGAAAACTAGACTCCCTGCGGACCTGTCATCTTTTCACTCCCTCCTCTCTACATTCTCTTCCTCTGTTTCCGCTGCTAAAGACACTTTCTACCACTCAAAATTTCAAGCCTCTGCCTCTAACCCTAGGAAGCTCTTTCCCACCTTCTCCTCCCTGCTGAATCCTCCTACTCCTCCCCCTCCCTCCTCCCTCTCTGTGGATGACTTCGTCAACCATTTTGAAAAGAAGGTTGACGACATCCGATCCTCATTTATTTAGTCAAATGACACCGCTGGTCCTGCTCACACTACCCTACCCTATGCTTTGACTTCTTTCTCCCCTCTCTCTCCAGATGAAATCTTGCGACTTGTGACGGCCGGCCGCCCAACAACCTGCCCGCTTGACCCTATCCCCTCCTCTCTTCTCCAGACCATTTCCGGAGACCTTCTCCCTTACCTCACCTCGCTCATCAACTCATCCTTGACCGCTGGCCATGTCCCTTCCGTCTTCAAGAGAGCGAGAGTTGCACCCCTCCTCAAAAAACCTACACTCGATCCCTCCGATGTCAACAACTACAGACCAGTATCCCTTCTTTCTTTTCTCTCCAAAACTCTTGAGCGTGCCGTCTCTAGCCAACTCTCCTGCTATCTCTCTCAGAATGACCTTCTTGATCCAAACCAGTCAGGTTTCAAGGCTGGTCATTCAACTGAGACTGCTCTTCTCTGTGTCACGGAGGCTCTCCGCACTGCTAAAGCTAACTCTCTCTCCTCTGCTCTTATCCTTCTAGACCTATCCGCTGCCTTTGATACTGTGAACCATCAGATCCTCCTCTCCACCCTCTCCAAGTTGGGCATCTCCGGCGCTGCTCACTCTTGGATTGCGTCCTACCTGACAGGTCGCTCCTACCAGGTGGCGTGGCGAGAATCTGTCTCCGCACCACATGCTCTCACCACTGGTGTCCCCCAGGACTCAGTTCTAGGCCCTCTCCTATTCTCTCTATACACCAACTCACTTGGCTCTGTCATATCCTCACATGGTCTCTCCTATCATTGCTACGCAGACGACACACAATTAATTTTCTCATTTCCCCCAGGTGGTGAATCGCATCTCTGCATGTCTGGCAGACATATCAGTGTGGATGTCGGATCACCACCTCAAGCTGAACCTCGGCAAGACGGAGCTGCTCTTCCTCCCAGGGAAGGAATGCCCGCTCCATGATCTCGCCATCACGGTTGACAACTCCATTGTGTCCTCCTCCCAGAGTGCAAAGAACCTTGGCGTGACCCTGGACAACACCCTGTCGTTCTCGGCTAACATCAAAGCGGTGACCAGATCCTGCAGGTTCATGCTCTACAACATTTGCAGAGTACGACCCTACCTTACACAAAAAGCGGCACAGGTCCTAATCCAGGCACTTGTCATCTCCCGTCTGGATTACTGCAACTCGCTGTTGGCTGGGCTCCCTGCCTGTGCCATTAAACCCCTATAATTTATCCAGAACGCTGCAGCCCGTCTGGTGTTCAACCTTCCCAAGTTCTCTCATGTCACCCCGCTCCTCCGCACACTCCACTGGCTTCCAGTTGAGGCTCGCATCTACTACAAGACCATGGTGCTTGCCTACGGAGCTGTGAGGGGAACGGCACCTCCTTACCTTCAGGCTCTGATCCTACACCCAAACGAGGGCACTACGTTCATCCACCTCTGGCCTGCTAGCTCCCCTACCTCTACGGAAGCACAGTTCCCGCTCAGCCCAGTCAAAGCTATTCGCTGCTCTGGCACCCCAATGGTGGAACAAGGTCCCCCACGACGCCAGGACAGCGGAGTCACTGACCACCTTCTGGAGACATTTGAAACCCTACCTCTTTAAGGAATACCTGGAATAGTATAAAGTAATCCTTCTTCCCCCACCCCCCATAAAAAATTAAATAAATAAAAAGTGGTTGTCCCACAGGCTATCTTAAGTTGAATGCACCAATGTGTAAGTCGCTCTTAATAAGAGCGTCTGCTAAATGATGTAAATGTAAATTAGTATTTTCATTACTCAGCCCTCTGGTCTTGGAATTCACTCCAAGCCAACCTAAAACTCCAGGCCCTGGTGTCCCTAGAGGTGTTCAAAGGACAAATAGATTAACAGGTTGTTGAGGCATGTAGTTGTTTCTAGTTGTCACCCTGTCACTAGTTGGCGTTGAAACGTTGAAGTATTTGATACTATTTGATATTTGATACTGTAATGGCCCTGATTTGACATATTGCACTTTAATATAATTTTTCTGACTTGTGTAATGTACAACCGTGCTGCTTTTTGTATTCATGTTTCTGCGTCTTGTTGATGTCATGTGTCTGTTTGTCTGTAACTGATGTATTGATGCTGGGCTGCTGTCTTGGTCCAGGTCTGTCTTGAAAATTAGATTTTTATCTCAAGAGACCAACCTGGTTAAAAAAAGTGGTTATTTATCTCAGCATTTACAGAAGCTATTCCGATCATATTTTGCAGAAATAAGCAATGCCACTGGACCAACAAAAAATGTCTTAAAGGCCCAGTGCAGTCAAAATTCTGTTTGTCCAGTGTTTTATGTTTCATATTGTACAACAGCTGATTAAACTAGTACTGAAAGCGTGAAAACATTTGATCAGTGTTATTTCCTGATAGTTGCTGGTTGAAAATATAATCTACACAGGACCTTCTAATCAGCAGGTTTGCATAGATGGGTTAGCTGACATCGTCACGAAAATGATGTGCGTGTCAGCGTCAGCGTGTTGTTGTGAATCTGGATGGCCAGATGGCTACCAAGAATGACAAGATACGTGGGGAATCATAAGTGGCTTGTTTCAAATCAAATCAAATCACATTTTATTTGCCACATGCGCCGAATACAATAGGTGTAGACCTTACAGTGAAATGCTTACTGTCACACCCTGGCTCTGGGGACTCTATATGTTGAGCCAGGGTGTGTAGATTCTATGTGTTTGTATTCTGTGTTGTAGTTTCTAGTTGGTGTATTTCTATGTTGGCCAGAGTGGTTCTCAATCAGAGGCAACGAGTGTCAGCTGTTGCTGGTTGTCTCTGATTGGGAACCACATTTAGACAGGCTGTTTTCCCACAGTAGTTGTGGGATCTTGTTCCAAGTAGGTTGTGTTAGACCTAGGACGTCACGTTATCGTTTGTTGTTTTGTTGTTCGTGTATTCATTAAATAAAAATAAGTATGTACGAATATCACGCTGCGCCTTGGTCCTCCTCCTTCGACGATCGTGACAGAAGATCCCACCAAAACAGGACCAAGCAGCGTGCCCAGGAGCAGACAGCCTGGACGTGGGAGCAGATCTTGGACGGGCAGGGGTCCTGGACCTGGGAGGAAATCCAGGCCGGGATGGATCGCCGTCCGTGGGAGGAGACGGTGGAGGCGCGCCGGAGAGAGGAGCAACGTCGTCAACAGTGTCGTCGTCGGACAGACGAGAGGCAACCCCAAAAAATTTTTAGGGGGGGGCACACGGCATGGGCGACGGGGCAGCAGGAGGCAGCTACAGGGCGTATTGGGAGGTTAGGTGAGGAGGCCACCAGGTTAAGGGGGCTATTGGTCCAGAGGGAGCAGGAGTTAGTGGTTCAGAGGGAGGAGCTACTGGAGGCGATAAGGGAGAGGGAGAGAGTAGAGGCACGGCGAGAGGAACTGTGTAGGCAGCTGAGGGAGCGGAGGGTTATGAAGAAACCCAGTCCCGCTCCTCACACCAAGCAAGTGGTGTGTGTCACCAGTCCGGTCCGGCCCGTTCCTGCTCCCCGCACTAAGTTGATGGTGCGCGTCGCCAGCCCGGCCCGGCCTGTTCCTGCCCCTCGCACCAAGCCTACGGTGCGCGTCGCCAGCCCGGTACGGCCCGTTCCTGCTCCCCGCACTAAGCTAATGGTGCGCGTCGCCAGCCCGGCCCGGCCTGTTCCTGCTCCCCGCACCAAGCTAATGGTGCGCGTCGCCAGCCCGGCCCGGCCTGTTCCTGCCCCCCGCACCAAGCTAATGGTGCGCGTTGCCAGCCCGGCCCGGCCTGTTCCTGCTC